ATATCTGTTGCACATTAATTGTTTAATACATGGATGCACATTAAAGTTATTGTAGCCCGAATTTTTTAATATGCAATTAAATATTTTTGAAAATCTACTTCTTATTTTAATTTGTAATTCAATACTTTTGTTTTGTACAACTTGGTAAAAATCTGACAGTAATATTTAATGTTCCTACAAACATGTAAGAGTCCTACATAAAATTTTGATAAAGTTGCGGCCCGCCATTTGATTTGCGTTTTTAATTGTGGCCCCCGGCCTCATGTAAGTTGGAAACCCCTGTTCTATACTATTAGCAGTCATTCAAAACATAGCTTTGTTTATTTGCATAAACTTTCTCAAAATAATATACATTTGATTGGTACACAAAAAGAAAAACATTACTCACAGCTTCTAATTCTTCTTTTCTTCTATATAAGTTGTTATTTAATAAGTTTTCCAGCTTATTTTTTTCTGCTTCGAGCTTTAATAAAAATACAAATAAAACATTTTAACAACTAATTCACATAATTTTTATTAAAAAAACATACACTATTCGGAATGAGCATAACAATAAAATGTATAAATAGTGAGAAAAAAAATCACAGTGAGATTTCTGTTAACTGCCATGCCTCCAGCTACAAAATGTATTAAGTCCACCAAAGCTATTAATTTTATTTCATTTTTTATTCTTTAAACACAGATACCACAAGAATGAATGGGTTTAAAACTATCAATTAAATTCCATTTGAATTCTAGGAATGTCAGCTTTTATATGCAATAAAAGAGTTCTTTTCTTTTTTGTCCTTAGTTGTCAAAAACCAAATACTGATAGTTTTATGTGAACAATACTAAACAGTTAAGAAAAAGGGAAAAACCTAAACTAAACATTAAAAAAAGGATGATAAAAATATATAAATCAAACTGCATGTTTTAATCTTTCAATTGGTATACTAGTCCTTGGTTTACATATTTTTTCACATAGAAAATAAAAACGTTTCTTTGGTTATTTAAAATCAAAACCAGATTCATCATTCCTGTATCTTTTGTTAAAATTAATTCCTGCATATATCTTCATGTTTTAATGGTCCTGTCACAAATGCTATTTTTTTAATGTTAAAAATAAGTTTTAGAATGTAAAGGATTCTGGTGTCTATCATTTGGTAACTTTAATGACAAACTGAAATTTGTTTCCGTTTTGAAAAGAAAAACAGTAACTCTTAATACTAACAATAAAAACAATAGGGATTTGTGACAGTTTGAAGAAAATGCTTCTGACATCACTTTTAATATCAATGCATCAGTTGATGAAAATATTGGAACCTGATATGTTGTCGGTTGAAAAATGGATTGAAGAAACATAAGTGCAAAATGATGCAAATGAAGATAGTGAAACACAACTAGTGATATTTGTGAAAGGCTGGCCTCAAAGCTGTTGAAACAATGAGAAACTTTCACATTAATTTACACAAAACAATCATATCAAAGATTTATTCCTTGTGTTGAAAAAAAAAACGTGAGTCCAAATAGAAATTTCTATGTATTTTAAATAATAAATAAACTTATTCATCTGTCTTTTGCGTCATAAATATTTTTGAAGTAATAATTGTATCAATTAAAAATTTATATTCTTACTTCAAAATTTATTAATTTTTGAACAATGAACAATAAGTACAACGCCTTATAAATATTATTTGAGTTTAAGCTGTATACTAATGTTATTTTAAAATGTCATCTAAAATATTGGAACTAATATTTAAGAAGAAAAAAAAATATCAGTAAAAATTATAGTTAGATATTCATCATTTATATGCAATAAGTGAAGAGTAATTACACTTGGAGCTCTGAGTATTAATTTTTGAACAGTCAATCGGAAGAAGTTTACAGTGGATGTTGCAATAATGATCTGGCCTCCCTACTTTGCTCCCCAAGGAATCACTTCACCATCTATAACTACCAATGACACACTAGTGCAAATTCTGAACCATTAAAACAGAATCAAATGCTATAAGATTAAAGACCTGGCCTTTAGCACATGGGATCAAACCTCTGCCCAAGCTGTGATAGCCAAAGACTCTACCCACCACATCGCTGGGCAGTCTATCTTAAACGGATATGATGATTTAAAGCTGGTTAAGAATAAAATTTATTTAACTTATGAAAGGAAGAAAAAAAACACTATAACAGGAGGGACAGAATTACAGCTAAGCATATGGTTTTATAAACTAAATCTAAAGGAAATTACACAAAAGGGAAATTATTGTATATAAAAAGGAGTCTAATTATAATGAAGTAACTTCAATGGAAAGTAAAAATAGAAAATAGTTTTCCAAAATTTTGCTTTACAAATAATTTTTTTTTAAATTATTGATATTAATTCAGAATATTTTTTTGTTGTTGTTAAGATAATGGGAGTTGTATTAACTCACTCGCATCCTTTCACTGAATGCTTCTTTGTTTTCCTGAGTCAATTTTCGAATGTCATCATTCAGTCGATCCACTTCTTGCTGATCAGTGACCGATAACTGATTTAATAAATCTTGCTGAAGCTCACTACGTAAGGACTGTTCAGTGGATTGCATTGACTTCAAGCTTGAGTCAAGACTGGCTAAGCTCCTTTCCTATAATAGAAAGTTAAAAAATAAATTTAAAAAGATTATTTGGGAAACCAAAGAATTTTTATTTACAAAAATTGTAACAAGATAACACATATATTTATAAGATAATATTGAGATTTACAGATTAAGCATTAAAAGACCTCAACTGATACTTGCAGATCATAGTTTTCTTTCCAACTATGTTAAAGAATTGGAACTCCTCCCATGGTCTGTCTTAAATAACCTATTTATCCACTGCTAAGCCAATTAAAGCTTTCTTTCCCATGATAAGTTCAATTTTTTTTTTCAAAGAAATTTGAACAAAAAAACTATAATTAAAAAACACTACCTTAGGCTGATGTGATCTGTCTAAAGCAGCAACCTCTTCTTTCATCAAACGGATGTCAGCCTTTAACTTATCAAACACATCCCTAAAAAATACAACATTTGTATCCACAATTTTTTATAAAGGATCCTCTTATCAGACAGAAAAGGAATTAATATTTACATACTTATTTTTACTGTTTTTGGTTTCAGCTTTCTGCATGTCACTGACTATTTTATTAATTTCATTTTCAATATGTAAAAAAATATAAGTCAAGGAAAGTCTACATAAATAAAAATCATACTTATGCAATCTGCAATAAGTACTTTAAAGTAAAAAAAATGAGCCTTAAAACTTCCTTATACTTTTAACGAAAAATTTAAACTATTTGATGAGGTACAATTGAACTAACAAGCAGATTTCATTAAATTAATTCTGATTTTTTTTTATTCTCTCTTCTAAAATAAAAAAAATTTCAATAAATATTTATAATAGTCACGCTCATATAGTAGAAATTTATCAGCACTAATTTCCCCATACCCTTGATCATACACCGAGAAATTGTCAAAAATAACAATAAAAACAAAGAAAGGAAGGAAAAATAGAAAAATCTCATACCGATAAATGCCGATATTAAACATTGTTAAAATTCAAACTGAATATAAATTGTCAAGCATTAATATATTTAGTTACTATAAAATATTAAAATTAATAAAAATCTTGACAATATCTGGCAAGTTATTATACATTCTCTATATTTGAATTGTTCACTTCAATTCACTTTATTAACATCATTTTTTTAAGAAAAATCTTATACAGAGCAGAGAAAACATGTATGAATTAGAAATATCATTAAGTAAAAGGTCTCTTGGAGTAGTGACTAAATTTTCTTAATTTCTACCCGTGTATGATGCTGCATAAATAAAATAATGATTGGTATTAAAGAAAAATATTCATAAATAATATAAAAATTATAAAAGGATATTTGTCAAAGTTTTTCTATGCTGAGTCAACTGTCGTTCCTGTTCGTTAATTTCAGTAACAACTTGCATGTGCCCTTTGTGCAAATCCAATCTTGATTTCCTTGTATCAAAATAACCACCGGTTAAAGCACCTTTATGTGACACTTGGTCACCTAAAATGAAAAAGAATGATAGCATTAGAAAAATTTAATGAGAAATAAATATAGTTTAACTCATCTTTGCTCGTGAAAAAAAATAAAAATCATTTTATAATTAAACTGCCTAATGCTTGAATTTAATCCTAATCAATCCATGGATTAAATATTTTATTCTATTTTTTAGTTTTTACATCTTTTCAAAAAAGTGTATGATAAAAAATTGTTCGACAATATGATTATTTTTAAACACCTTAGCCCTGTGGCAGAATTTTTTCGAGCTATCTGCGACAAAACTCTTTAACCCTAATATCTTTCTGCAAAATACTTTTAATAATAATAAACATGCATGTTACTAATTTAAAATAACAAAAGCGCTGTGTTCACAAAAAAATATATATATAATTTTTTTATAAAATTGAACATGCGATTTTTATTCTAATATTATACATAACATTTTTGAATTTTGTTGGGAGGGGGGGGAAGCAGAAATTATTTCCTATACCTTTTGCAACTAATCATCGAAATAAAAAATTTAAAAATCATTAAATCCGTAGTAGTACAAAGATCAACGACAAAATCACGTGAATCGGATGCCTCAAATGCATGTTTTGTTTCTTGATTAGGCTGTTGCATAAAAATAATATCGTAAAAAAATATCGGATTTAAAAACTATAGAGAAATTAATTGCAATAACAGATAAAATTCGACAGAATTATTGCCTTAAAAAGTAAGTATTCAAATACACGATTTGAATTTTCCATGTTGTTAATCGGAATATTTGAAATCCACATGAAAATCAATATCAATAACTGGTGAAAATAGAATCGAAACAATACATCAATTTACGATTCTATCAGCATATATTGAGCATGTCAAAAAGTTATTATCTAAATGCATGTTTCAAATATAACAAGTAAATTTCTGTCAAAAAATAAATAAAGATAATTTTTTTTTTTAAACTTTTCAAAAGAAAAATCTTCCTACAAGAAATCTGTAACGTTCTGCGACAATGTCACCGTGTCGCTGCCATTCTGCCACCTTCAGCATCTTAAAACATAACTAAAATACACTAAAGAAACAATTATTTTAAAAATTAGAAGGAAAAAAAAAGAGTAAAATTGTGAATATGAGAAAAAAATCTCACATCTGAAATTGGGGGTTCTAGAACAGTGGTTACCAACTGGCGGCCCGGCGAAGCCTTTTTTTGTGACCCGGTGACTGAAATATACTATTTGTCGCTTTTTTAAGGACAATTTTCGTAACAAATCTGTACGGGATTAAAATACTTTTCTCTCATTTAAAAAAAAAATTAATTTCTTTGTTTCTGTGAAATTTAACATACCAACGGTGCAAAAAAATTTATTTCTCAGATTTTGCATCCAAGAAAATATTTATTCAAATACAAAAATAATCGTGTATCTTGCTCTNTATTTATCCACTGCTAAGCCAATTAAAGCTTTCTTTCCCATGATAAGTTCAATTTTTTTTTTCAAAGAAATTTGAACAAAAAAACTATAATTAAAAAACACTACCTTAGGCTGATGTGATCTGTCTAAAGCAGCAACCTCTTCTTTCATCAAACGGATGTCAGCCTTTAACTTATCAAACACATCCCTAAAAAATAAAACATTAGTATCCACAATTTTTTATAAAGGATCCTCTCATCAGACAGAAAAGGAATTAATATTTACATACTTATTTTTACTGTTTTTGGTTTCAGCTTTCTGCATGTCACTGACTATTTTATTAATTTCATTTTCAATATGTAAAAAAAGAGAAGTCAAGGAAAGTCTACATAAATAAAAATCATACTTATGCAATCTGCAATAAGTACTTCAAAGTAAAAAAAATGAGCCTTAAAACTTCCCTATATTTTTAACGAAAAATTTAAACAATTTGATGAAGTATAATTGAACAAACAAGCAGATTTCATTAAATTAATTCTTTTTTTTTATTCTCTCTTCTAAAATAAAAAAATTTCAATAAATATTTATAATAGTCACGTTCATATAGTAGAAATTTATCAGCATTAATTTCCCCATATCCTTGATCATACACCGAGAAACTGTCAAAAATAACAATAAAAACAAAGAAAGGGAGGAAAAATGAGGAAACATAGAAAAATCTCATACCTATTAAATGCCGATACTAAGCATTGTTAAAATTCAAACTGAATATAATCAAGCATTAATATATTTAGTTACTAAAAAATATTAAAATTAATAAAAATTTTGACAATATCTGGCAAGTTATTATACATCCTCTGTATTTGAATTTTTCATTTCAATTCCCTTTATTAACATCATTTTTTTAAGAAAAATCTTATAGAGACCAGTGAAAATATGTATGAATTAGAAATATCGTTAAGTAAATGCTGCATAAATAGCTGCAACTATTTAGCATGCTGCATAAATAAAATAATGATTGGTGTTAAAGAAAAAGATTCATAAATAATATAAAAATTATAAAAGGATATTTGTCAAAGTTTTTCTATGCTGAGTCAACTGTCGTTCCTGTTCGTTAATTTCAGTAACAAATTGCATGTGCCCTTTGTGTAAATCCAATCTTGATTTCCTTGTGTCAAAGTAACCGCCGGTTAAAGCACCTTTATGTGACACTTGGTCACCTAAAATGAAAAAGAATGATAGTATTAAAAAAAATAATGAGAAATAAATATATTTTAACTCATCTTTGCTCGTGAAAAAAAATAAAAATCATTTTATAATCAAATTGCCCAATGCTTGAATTTAATCCTAATCAATCCATGAATTAAATAAAATTTTTTAGTTTTTACATCTTTTCAAAAAAGTGTATGATAAAAAATTGTTCGACAATATGATTATTTTTAAACAACTTAGCCCTGTGGCAGAATTTTTTCGTGCTATCTGCGACAAAACTCTTTAGCCCTAATATCTTTCAGCAAATACTTTTAATAATAATAAACATGTATGTTACTAATTTAAAACAACAAGAGGGCTGTGTTTACAAAAAAAACTATACATAATTTTTTTATAAGATTGAACATGCGATTTTTATTCTAATATTATACATAAAATTTTTGCATTTTGTTGGGAGGGGGGGAGCAGAAATTATTTCCTATAACTAATCATAACCTTGCAACTAATCATCAAAATAAAATAAAAAATTTAAAAATCATTAAATCTGTAGTAGTACAAAGATCAATGACAAAATCACGCGAATCGGATGCCTCAAATGCGTGTTTTGTTTCTTGAATAGGCTGCTGTATAAAAATAATATCGTAAAAAAATATCGGATTCAAAAACTAGAGAGAAATCAATTGCAATAACTGATAAAATTCGACAGAATTATTGCCTTAAAAAGTAAATATTCAAATACACTATTTGAATTTTGCATGTTGTTAATCAGAATATTTGAAATCCACATGAAAATCAATATCAATAACTGGTGAAAATACAATCGAAACAATACATCAATTTACGATATTATCGGCACATATTGAGCGAGTCAAAAAGTGATTATCTAAATGCATGTTTCAAATATAACAGGTAAATTTCGGTCAAAAAATAAAGGTTTTTTTTTTCTTTCTTTTCAAAAGAAAAATCTTTCTACAAGAACTCTAACGTTCTGCGCCAATGTCGCCATGTTGCTGCGATTCTGCCACAGGGCACCTTAGAACATAACTAAAATACACTAAAGAAAAAACTAACAATTATTTGAAAAATTCGAAGAAAAAAAAAAGAGTAAAATTGGGAATATGAGAAAAAATCTCACATCTGAAATTGGGGGTTCCAGAACAGTGGTTACCAACTGGCGGCCCGCAAAGCCTTTTTTTGTGGCCCGGTGACTGAAATATATTATGCGTCGTTTCTTTTAAGGACAATTTTCGTAACAAATCTGTATGGGTTTAAAATACTTTTCTCTCATTTAAAAAAACTAATTTCTTTGTTTCTGTGAAATTTAACATACCAAAGGCGCAAAAAAATTTATTCAAATACAAAAATAATCGTGTATGTTGCTCTTTTTTTATTTCGCATTTTTTTTTTCTGTATTTTGTGAAAATAATTTAGCATGTGAGTATCAGAAATTTTCTTGAAGAAATTCTCCCATTTAACTTTTTGAAACCACTCATTTTGGACAAAATTATTTACATTTGCAAAAATTTCAAAAAGCATAAAATAGGGAATGAATATCATGTCATATTTAAATTTCTTGAATTGAATATAGCATGAGCGGAACAGAAAAAAAAATTTCAATTTAAGATGCTCTCAAATTATTATTACTATTTTTTTTTGTTGCTATAATTCCTAATAAGTTGAAAAAAATGTTACTTTATCACAGAATTAAATTTAAAAGAAAAAAAAAATATCCTGTCACGAAGTTTCTGATTAAGAGAAGATTCAAAATGGTACGTAACACACATTATTTGTAATGCTTGTCATTTTGCTTTTTAATATTAAAAAAAGTTTGATAAAAATCTGACAGCAATATTTAATGTTCCTTCAAACAGTCCTAAAAGAGTCCTATACAAAATTTCGATAAAGTTGCGGCCCGCTATTTGACTGGAGTTTTTCATTGCGGCCCCTGGCCACATGTTAGTTGGAAGCCCCTGTTCTAGAATGCATAGTGAATTACCTTCCAAAGTTATGCAGTCTAGATTGGAAGTTCTTGCAATCTGTGTAGCTACCTCCAAACTTCGGCAAATCAAGGTTTTCCCAAATATGTATTTCATCGCTCTTTCATGCTTTGGTTCATAAGTTAACTTGCTTATCATAGGAATAGCATCCTACAAAACACATTATTTGTTCAAATGATTACTCATTAAAGATTAAATCAAACATGATTAATATAAAATGATACACAAAAATAGGTACACAGTACTTTGAAGCCAAAATTTTTGTGGGAACTAATAAAAAGTGTTCTAGTCATGTGATTCTTACCCTGGGAAATAGTTCCGACTTTTCCAAAGCAATTTTATCAAATCCTAAATTTTGGAACTGCCAATGTAATTTTATTACTAATTTTTTGGTTTAAAAAATTTTTAACAAAAAAATCTTACTAGTTACTGAAGATGAAATAAAAAATAAATTAAAAAATTTTTATAAGAATAAATTAAAACATATGAAAAAAATTTTTTTAGGTAGAGAGCAATAAAGAAACTTTGTAAAGAAATATAATGCACTTAACTTGGTAATATAATTATTATGTTGCTCACTAGGAAAAACATTAGTTGTCAGTTAACTTAAATGTCAGTAACTGCTTTCTTAATATCGAAAAAAATTGATTTTGATAATGCAATTTTGTTTAAGAAATGATAAATCAACTTTTTATATAATTTAAATAAATATGTTAATAAGGCAAAATATTTAGTATATATATTTTTTTCCTTTAATATAAATTGAACCAAACAATTTACTGGGGGAAAATACTAAGGCACTTCAAAACTAAATTAAACCTGATTGTTTAGGTATAAATTATAAAACTTACATTGGTATTTGGATATTGCACATCTTTATACATCAGCCTATTTAATGGCATAAATGTGACTTCACCAGGAAGCTGCTGACGATTCATTTCCTGAAGTATTTTTGTACCAATTTTATCATTCTCCACAATGTGGTAAAATAATCTAAAAAAAATACTTATTTAGGAATAAAAAGAAAAGAAAACAAGTTTTAAATAACCCATTATTTCTGTTTGTAGCATAGTCACAATTTTCCTTTTGAACTTTTAAAATAATAAACTACTGTAATGAAAATCTACATTTGTAGTAAAACAGCATAACTGCAAATTAGTTCAATTCATGAAGAGTTGTAAATAAATGGTAGCAATATTTATATTTGAATGTAAAAATCTTAGTTTTCTAAGGATCAATAAATACATATTTCATTGACTGTGAAAAATCAATAATTTAAATATAGGTACATAGCATCTATTAGTTAAGTAGTCAGGTTTTTAAGTGTTATTCTCCTACTTCAATTATTTGATTACTATGTAAAATCTTCAACAACTACACAAGGTATCAGTTATGCAATAGTGCAAGAAGCCTTAGAAAATGAGACTTATTTCAATAATTGTAAGGTTTTTTAGATATTGCATATGAAATTAAGATGAGCCTCATTGCTTTCTTAGTTTAATCATCACATTGAAACACAGAAATAAAAAAAAATATCTTATCTAGCAGAATGTAATTTTTTAAAACTGAACCAAATTTATAGCTTTTATGGAGAATTCCAGTCTAAAACACCATGTGGCGAGAAATGGTGGTTAAAATTTAGAATACTTTAAAACATAGAATAAGTCCTGTTTATTGATGAGTCCAAAGACACGGTTCCCAGTAAAACACCAAGGTCAAGCATCACTGGCTGCAATCAGTAAGCAGGTGGATGACCACTTTGATCATCCTGCGAAGGAAACGAGGGTGCATGGTACCGGCCCTCGTTAAACTATTCTACCGTGAAGTGCTCGACTTCGCACGTGGGTCGTCAGGCTACCAAAGCAGTAGAGTCATACCCTCTACAGAAGATCAACATTGCGATAGAATGTCCTCGGATCATCCTCGGGGATGTTTCCCAGACCGTCGCAAATAGCCCATTGTGCAGCTCTAGTGAGACAATAAATTACCTGCCTACCTATTTACTGATGAAGCAGTTGCAGCTGATATATTTCATAACTGAAGATCAAACAAAAATTTAGTAGCTTGGACTTAAACAAAACTTTCAGTTTTTGCACTGAAGGTGATATTTTAACTGTGCATGTTATTGATAACTAAATGCAATACAAAAAGACGAGATACTATAATGCTGATAACATAACAGTTATTCGTGTTTAAAATTGAAAGAAAAAAAAACATTTAAAATTATTTTTTGGAATTAGAACAACAAAAAAAAATAGAAGTTTGTAACAGATCTCTGGTGAGAAGCTATAAAAAAATCTCTTAAATAACTCTGATTTTAAAAATGGCCATGCATTTTTCTACTCAGGAATTTTGACACCATTAAAGATATACTTACTTATTTCCAGATGTTACTTCAACAGCAGTGTAGATAGTTTTATCACAATCAAAATTTTCAATTAACATTCCATAATATGAATTAGCAATTTGTTCAGAACTTCCACCTTTATCTCTAAATGACTGAAGAACTTTTTTAACACTGTCTCTTCCATTCAGTGTTGCCTAAATAAACACAGAACAAAACAATAAGAATTTTAAAAAATATATACAATAGCATATAGAACTAATTCACTTATTTCTAAAATTGCCATTTTATAACATCTGGTAGCATTTTGGGTAACATTAGGTATGGTATTTTACTAATTTTTTTTTTAAAATTTAGTCACGCAAACCATAAGTTTCAATGTTGTCATGGCCAGATCGGCACAGAAACCTCAGAATTCAAAAACGACATTCCCTTAAACATAAATTTGTCGAATAAGAATTACTAACTTTTTTTTTGGAGCTTAAAACTTATTTAAAACATGAAAAATTTTACTAAAAAGCTCACTTAATAAAATTGCTTCATATTTTAAAAATAAATACAAACATAAAGTTTCTTTTTTTTTTAATTACTTATTAACCTGAATATATTAACTCATAGAACAGTGTGTGTTCACTATTAGCTGACAGAATTTTTTTATTTTTGATATAATTAGAGGAAATTCAACTAAAAGTTTAAATACATGCTTACTTACCTGCCTTACATTTAAATGTAAATAGTTGAAAAATAACATTTCTCGAGTCTTTGCCAAATTTTACACTATCTTAAAAGGAACTACTAAATAAATATATAGTTAATAATGTAAAAACTTTATTCGCTTTAAGAATTATACCACAGTGTTCTCCCTAAGTGTTTTTGAAGGGCAGCCCTCCCCGCCTGCCCTTTGATCCTTTTAAATGCGCCTAAAAATTGAGGATCAAATTCAGTTATTTAGTAATGTTACATATTTTGATAAATTTTAACAGTGATAAGTGAGTGCCCTTTCAAAACTCAAAGTGTCCTTTTCTATGCGGAAGTACCCTGCCCTCCTAGGGAGAACTCTAATACAGTAGAGAACCAATTATTCGGGATGCTCAGAACCATCGCTATCCCGGATGTCTGAACTTCCCGGTTTTCTGGATCGACCAAAAAGTGTCGTTAAGCGTTGTTTTATCGAACCCGAAATTCAAGGAAAAAGTGTAACACATTTTAAAGTAAGAGAAAAAGAAAAGCACTCCTAAATTTAAAAAGATAAAAAAAAAATGGTAGAAAAATAACATTTAAAACAATTTAAAAAATAGCAAGTTCNACCAAAAAGTGTCGTTAATCGATGTTTTATCGAACCCGAAATTCAAGGAAAAAGTGTAACACATTTTAAAGTAAGAGAAAAAAGAAAAGCACTAGTAAATTTAAAAAGATAAAAAAAAAATGGTAGAAAAATAACATTTAAAACAATAAAAAAAATTGCAAGTTTAGACAAAAAAACAAGTTTAAAAAATACAAAATTCTCATTTTTTTTTTTTTAAAAATTACAATTCCTAAATTAACTAATATAAACAAAACCAATGATTCAATAACGCAATATATTTCATACCTAATTATTCAGGGGGAAAACGATAAAATAAAAGGAAAACTTATTAATCTAAATAAAGACAACGAAAATTATCAAACCGAAACAATAGTTAAAAAAGGCACTTGCATAAATATTAAAACCCTGAACAAGGCAAGATCAATAAGATCAACGGAATTAAAGAAGAAAAAAAAACCTAATGATAAAATTTATGAATAAAAAGAATTAATTTATTGTGAAAAGAAAAAAAATCAAACGTAGTGGAATCAGAAAAACAAAACTGCAATCTGCTTCATAAAATAATCATATGTTTAAATTAATAAACAATTCTCTTTTTTTCTTTCTTTTTTTAAATCTATAAAAATGCGATTTTTAACGAAAGCAATATGTGATTCCACATCAAGAAAAACTTTCAAATTATACCACACTTCCAAAGAATCAGAATTTATTCTAAAGAAATATATTTTATTTTCATTAATGGATTTCACATAATAGATAAATATATTTTTCTCTTTCATCTTCAGTTCACTGATATGCATATGCAATACATTTTCCCCACCCCCTCGTAAATTAAAGAGAAAACGAAATCAGCATGCCACTCCTTTGAGTTTGATTGACGGCCTAAAGGAGAAAATAAAACATTCATCCCTTCCCTGCCTCCTCTCGATCTGAAGATCTTCAAGGTCATGGAAGAAGCGACACATCTCTGGGTAAACGGGGGGAAAATTCTCCCCTTCCTCACATTTTCCTCTACTCAAATTCAAGGATGAGTTCAATTTCCACTTTTTTTCATAATCGTTCTAGCTTAAATTGGCAAGAAAACCGAGCAAAATTTTTCCCGGTTATCTGGATACTGGATAAATGGTTCTCTACTGTATAAATAAAATTGAAAAGGAATCCTGAGATGATACACGTTGCTAGAGATTCACAGCTGAATAAAAACTCACTTTGCCAGTCATTGACCTCAGCCCTTGATCTTTTTTGGATAGATCTTCTTTTAATGTTGCCAAATTTTGCTGCATAGCATTTTCTTGTCTCCAAAGCTCACTGGAAAGATAGAAAAAAAAATTTTCTCAAACAATAATGGGATTTCAATACTAAAAACTTTACAAAAAAATACAAATCTTACTTTCTTTCACTCTGAAGTGTGTCTTTCTTTTTCTTCATCTCATAAAAGTTTTTATTTTGCGTGTCTATGCTTTCTCGGTGGTTCTCCAATTCTTTTGTTCGTTCCTAATGAGAGAGAATATAGTCATACAGTAAAATAAATTAAACTTAGAAATACTGAAAGTTATTCAGGTATGAAACCATCAACAATAATTACTTCTATTTTTATTTCTAGCATTTTTCTCTTTTCAGTGTCCTTTGTAAAATCCTCTTGCAATCGGTCAATCTGAAAAAAGAAGAAAAAAATTACGATCCATCAACAAATACAGTTTTTTTTTTAAACTTAAAAGTGCAAGCGAAAATTGCTTTGAAGGAAACTATTTCCAATTTGATTAAATCATCAATTAAAAGAGACGGGAGCTTTTAGAAGTACTGTAATGTACCTTTTAAAGCAGTGTTCACCAAAAACCTGGATATACGTGAGTTTTTCTAGATTTTTTCATGAAAATATCCGATTTTTCCAGGAGTTAAGTGGATTATTCTGCCATGCATATTTAGTTTTTTTTTAAATTTTTTTAATTCATCCGATTGCTTTGAAATTTCGTATGCATGAATGTTTTGAACAGATATGGCTGGAATGATGCCGACTGGGGACGTATGGTCCTTAACGACAAATCCCGCTTCCAACTGTGTCCTGACGATCATCGAACACGTGTTTGGAGACGCACAGGGCAGAAGGGGGATCCTGCCTTCACTATTGCACGCCACACCGGCCCTCAACAAGGCATTATGGTCTGGGGTGTCATTTACCTTGACAGCCGGACCCCTTTGGTCGTCAATAGAGGTACACTTACAGCACAGCAGTACGTCAACGACATCCTAAGACCTGTTTTGCTACCGTTCCTTTTGCAGCGCCCTGGTCTGGTTTTTCAGCAGGTCAATGCCAGACCACATACGGCACGTGTTGCTATGAACTGTCTGCAAGCTTGTCAAACTCTTCCTTGGCCTGCCAGATCACCAGATCTCTTTTCCATCGAGCATGTCTGGGATATGATGAGAAGGCGATTGCATCTGGCACGGAATGTCGATGACCTCGATCAACAATTGGATCGAATTTGGCAGGAAATATCGCAAGAGACCATCCGAGAGCTTTATCGGTCTATGCCACGCCGTGTGGCAGCTGGTATCCAGGCTAGAGGCGGATCAACACCTTATTGAACTTGTTACTGTAACTCTGCAATAAATTATTCAATTGGTCTGAAATTTTAATCACTTACTATTCTGTACATTGTCTTCCTATCCACCAATTTTCGTTTCAATCGGACAACTCCTTCTTGGTGTGTTGATTTTTTTGTTATAGTGTATTTCATAATATTCTAGATTATCATTAAATCATCTATCTCATTAAAGTTAAATAATAATCTTGTACGAAAGTCTTTATCATGATCAATCAATAACTACAATATGAAATTCAAATTCCATGAAATAATTTCATAACTTGTTCACTAGATAATTTAATCTTCCTTTTGTAATTAACAAAATTCTTACCAACTAAAATGTTATANGAAATTTTGTATGCATGAATGTTTTGAACAGATATGGCTGGAATGATGCCGACTGGGGACGTATGGTCCTTAACGACAAATCCTGCTTCCAACTGCGTCCTGACGATCATCGAAGACGTGTTTGGAGACGCACAGGGCAGAAGGGGGATCCTGCCTTCACTATTGCACGCCACACCGGCCCTCAACAAGGCATTATGGTCTGGGGTGTCATTTACTTTGACAGCCGGACCTCTTTGGTCGTCAGTAGAGGTACACTTACTGCACAGCGGTACATCGACGACATCCTAAGACCTGTTTTGCTACCGTTCCTTTTGCAGCGCCCTGGTCTGGTTTTTCAGCAGGGCAATGCCAGACCACATACGGCACGTGTTGCCATGAACTGTCTGCAAGCTTGTCAAACTCTTCCTTGGCCTGCCAGATCAACAGATCTCTCTACCATCGAGCATGTCTGGGATATGATGGGAAAGCGATTGCATCTGGCACGGAATGTTGATGACCTCGTTCAACAATTTAATGCCTTGTTGAGGCCACACCGGCCCTCAACAAGGCATTATGGTCTGGGGTGTCATTTACTTTGACAGCCGGACCTCTTTGGTCGTCAGTAGAGGTACACTTACTGCACAGCGGTACATCGACGACATCCTAAGACCTGTTTTGCTACCGTTCCTTTTGCAGCGCCCTGGTCTGGTTTTTCAGCAGGGCAATGCCAGACCACATACGGCACGTGTTGCCATGAACTGTCTGCAAGCTTGTCAAACTCTTCCTTGGCCTGCCAGATCAACAGATCTCTCTACCATCGAGCATGTCTGGGATATGATGGGAAAGCGATTGCATCTGGCACGGAATGTTGATGACCTCGTTCAACAATTCGATCGAATTTGGCAGGAAATATTGCAAGAGACCATCCGAGAGCTTTATCGGTCTACGCCACGCCGTGTGGCAGCTGGTATCCAGGCTAGAGGCGGATCAACACCTTATTGAACTTGTTACTGTAACTCTGCAATAAATTATTCAATTGTTCTGAAATTTTAATCATTTACTATTCTGTACATTGTCTTCCTATCCACCAATTTTCGTTTCAATTGGACAACTCCTTGGTGTGTATTTATTCTAGATATTCTAGATTATCATTAAATCATCTCATTAAAGTTAAATAATAATCTTGTACGAAAGTCTTTATCATGATCAACCAATAACTACAATATGAAATTCAAATTCCATGAAATAATTTCATAACTTGCTCACTAGATAATCTAATCTTCCTTTTGTAATTAACAAAATTCTTACCAACTACAATGTTATAACCTTTAAACATAGATTTTTTTTTTGAAACAAAAGGTACAGTAGATAGAAAATTAAACCACAATATATATGCCAGCAAAATAATGAAATATGCCTTTTAGTTTTAAAAGAAAAAAGAAGTTTGTTATGATGTCATAATTAAAAATAAAAAAATTTATTTTTTTCTTTTTTGAAATACTCAGATTTTTAAATTATTAAATAAAACTGAGTTTAAATTTGTCTAAAATTCTTAAGTTAGAATCCTTACTTTTTTTTNTTTTTTGGGGGGGGGGGGTAGCTTGTGTATTATGTAACCCCTAGTTAAAAGTATTTAAAACCTGTTTTTAATCTTATATTTAAACATAGATAAACTAGATAAATTTATCAAAATTCATGATGTCACACCTACAAAGATTGCAAATGTTAAGAGAAATATCGTAATGAGACTAGATTAAATAAAAGCAGGCTAAATGCCCAGTCTAATAACATTAACCCATTCATAACAGCAATACTTTCCTTAACAGAATAGGCATCTAAAATCTCTCCATCTAAATTCTTTTAGAAATTTTCAATTGGTTCCAGTTTTTCATCAAACGTTTGTGAAAAAAGAATAGTCAGACAGTGTTAGAATAGTTTTTATTGAGAGATAGTTTAAATATTGCAATTTATTATTATTATATGTTATTTTTATTGAGTAAAACAACGTTGTTTTTGTTAAAATGGTAATTTTATAAGCTATTATTTATAAAAACATAAGGGACTGAATGCCTTACATTCAAATGGTTGAAGTCAAATAAGTATGGCATAAAGATCAAAAGCAAGCATTGTAACTCAGCGTAAGTCAAGAAATGAGAAAAAATTTTGAACAACTGTAATAACACACTTAAGTATTATTAATTTTTAATTTGCATATATATATATATACACACATATTATATATTTGTCTTCAGATTTGAACATAATTCTAAAAATATGTATTTATAACTAAAAAAATTTTAAACGAACCTGTTCTTTTTTATCTCTAATAGCCTTTTGTAGTGACTTCAACTCTTTCTGGATCCACTTATCTCTCTCAGCTTTAGAAGTGAATTGACTTCCTCTCCCTTGCTTTGCATAAAGTTCTGTCCTTTTCTGCTCTTTTAAACTTAATCTAAAAGAATGTTTAAGAGAAGAAAAAACAGAATGAAAGATAGCAACAAAGTTAAACATTATTAACATAATTTTATTTTGTAATCAAGTTTGTAAAAACATAATCATTAATATATGACACCATTTAAATCTCTTACATTATTCGATCATAAGATATCTGAATAGAAACAATACGCTCACTTCCCAAATTTTCCTCATGAGAGATAGTTTATTGTCAACAAAATTCAAAAAACGAATCAATTATATATGATCACATATATAAATCTTACATAAGAAAAAGCAATGAAATTTCTTACGATATTACCTAAATTAAAACTACAAACTAGCTCATCAAAATTTACTTAACATATGACTAATACTTCCTCCTTAAAGTTTTTCTTTTATTTCATTATGTAATTAATCATTAATTATGTATCTGTGTGTCATAAATAAGGAAAAAAATAACTTGTTAAAAAATAACCTTGTAAAATGCCAAAAGGAAAAAGACCATGGATAGAGCATAGAAGTGGTTAAACCACTTGAAAGTTAACAGATGGTGAAATATAGCATTGGATAAATCTACATGGGGTAAACTGACTGTGATGGATTTGGTCGTTAACCGGCTGTGGTGCAGAAGATTTAATAAATACTTACTCTCGTGTACATTCTTCTTCTCTTTTCTTTTGAGCCTCATAACGTGGCCTTATTTCTTCAAGGTTGGTTAATTTCACAGATATTGTTTCCTTAAGTCTTTCCAATTCTCTTTCTGCTCTTTTTCGAGAACTGTCATCTCCTTCTACTTCGTCTCTGAGATCTTTGATAGTCAACTCCAATCGTGTCTTCTCCTTGAATAAAGATGACTGTTCTTGAGAGAGGGCCTCTTTTTCTTCTCTATAAGACTGTAGCTTACTTTTCACATCTCTCAAGTCTTTACTCAATTTCTACAAAAAAGGTTTTCTTTTAAAAAAAAGAAAAATATTTTCACTGCTTTTAGTTTACCATTTAACACATTTTCAATTCATTACATCAAACTAGACCTGAAAATTTTAAAAAAAAAATTCGTAACCAGTGGTAACTTAGTAGCCACTCTAGTAACTTAGAAGCCACTTTCTCCTTAGCCTTTTAGTTATCAAGTTATTTTGATGATTTGGGTACATAAATTGCCAATTTTTCTTTATCGCAAAAATTAAATGTTTAGTACAATCAATAAATTTAGATGGTACAATGATATTTACTAATTCTTGATAACATGGAAACATACAAAATTTTAAGTCTCACATTAATATTTAGTTTAAATACAACATAACATTTAATCTGTTATGCAATGTTACATATATAAACAAAGATGCTTTAGTGACACTTATTGCATTAATCAAAAATTCTTTTGAAAAGCCTCTTTCATAGCCAAGTCTGCCTTTTTTAGACTTAATTATTAACAATTTTTCTAGTGTCTCAGACATGGATAAATGGAACTGGTTGCTATTTTTTTTTAATTTTTGTAACCTCAGAAACACACTCCTTTCCATTCAGCATTGCTGTGGGGTATGGTCAAAATAGTTTTACGAATTTTTGAAATTCTTTTATACTTAGGATACGATGCTGAAGTCATTTTTGCAACGTACATCATGTACTCCAAGATATAGAAATAAATGGTAATTAAGAAATTAAGGTCATTACATGAGAAGAAACGTCTAAATTAAAGAAAACATGAACTATCAGACTGGCGGGTAAAAATTAGGAAAATCTTATCTCCTGCGCGTAAAAAATAGCTGAAATAAGTTAAAATCAGGAAAGCTTTTGCAAAATGCAGAAGGGTTTTCAGCTATTTATTTGTAATTACAATTTATTCTATTTTATTTTTTCACCCTTTAAAGTAATTTGAGACTAATAAATTTCGAACCAAACATTGCTAATCTAATTAAGTGTCCTCTTGCAAATTCCTCTCACTGACTTATGTAAAAATTTCATTTTATCATTTTTTAATAGAAGGGGTCCATCATATAATTATAAATTTATGTTACATAAAATTAAACTATTGATAATTAAAAATTAATAAATTTTCTATAAGATAATTATAAAAGTTTTGAGGGTTAAAAAAGTTCGGAAACTCTGCCCTAAATGCCTTACTCTTAATTATTTGACAAAATAAGAAATATTAAATTATGCAATATTATTTTTACTAAATTAATAATTTCTCAAAAATACGACAAAATAATTGAATTTTAAAAATATAAATTACATATATTAACATTTCATAATGCCATGATTAAACAAGAGGTAGTTATTTAAGAATTATAACTGAGTTATTATTATATCATGTAAAACTGAGATTACTTTTATTTGATCTGCAGCTTGCTGAGCTTCTTCACGTAGTTTTTCCGTCACAGAACTGCTAGTTTCTCTTCTGGTATCAAGCTAAAATTAATAACATGAGTATTGCAATAAAATAAAAGCAATAATTAAAATATTAATAAACAATAATCAAGGTTTAAATTTCAAGATTGAAACTAGCAATTTAAATAATCTGATTTTCTAAAAAATAAAAAAAAAATCGATTGAAGCATTGTAAAAATCAATGATTATTTTGTTACGCTCTAGATATTAGAATAGACACCTTAAAAATTATTATAACAATAAAAGGGGAAGAAACTATATTTTAAACTTAATTTAATAAAATTAAAATTGTAATAAGGGACAAAACACGGGAGAGTTACTAAAAAAAAAATCATATTTAATCCTTAACTAGTTTTTAAGTACAAAATTTTTTTCACTACCTTAACAATTATTCATGATGAAAAAAGTGTTCTTAACAAAGCAGAAAAGGAACGCATACAGTGTTTTCACTACAGCGCGAGAATCTCGCATACTTTTTTCTTTTCTCGCAATAAAAAATTATTAAGGCGAGAAGTTCGCGCACTCTATTAATCAATTTCAAAATGGAAAAAATTTCGTCTTTTGCCATTTTGAATAAAATCCGTTTCACTTTTCTTCCATGATCTTTTATTATTTTGAACATCGGTCCTTGTTATCTAGCTTCCCTATTTATCAGTATTGTTCAGAACCGGTGCGAACAGCAGAACACCCCTCCCCCCGAACTACGGAATCCCTTTCAGAACACATTTCTCTGCAACCACGTGTTCACCGTAGGTAAGGTTTCTTCATATAAGACATTTTTTGTGCATGAATGTAAGATGGACAAATACCTTGTGAAGGCGACATCTTCTACTTCGTAACGGACAAATGAAAATGAAACAAACGTCGGTAGAAACAGTCAAAACGAAACAAATACGGATATTTTTCAGCCAAATAAATATAATAGCCAATGAAAAAGTAGATATAAAACATTTTCCATATGATGATGCAGCAAAAATATTCAATTAGAAGATGTGAAAAATCTCACTTAACTTTTTGAAATCTCACCCTGTTTTTGAGAAAGGGTGAGAAATTCTCTCCCATTTTTTTCTGCAATGAATACACTGGCATATATTAAATCATATTACATATGCAAACTAGTGAATTGCCGCCTGTTAATAGTTCCTTTATTATTGACATACAAATAAAATATTGCACAAACATCATCACTCTCCAGCACTGCGACTAAAATGGATGGGTGTCATCAGCGGAAAAGGGAAACAAAATTTTCTTTTGAGGGAGGAAATAAGTAGTTTGCCCCTCCAATTGTCTGAAAGTCAGGAGATTTTCAGGGCGATTCTGGACCAAGATTTCAACTGATTGTACACATGTCATTCATTGCACACAACCACTGTGAAGGCATTGTGCTTAGAAGTTGAAGGCAGAAGAGTTGAGAGTAATTCGGTCTCATCTCTAGAAATTCTTGCATAAAAAAAGAATTCCAATAATACAATGATCATCTGGTTCGGCAATTAATTTCATTATTTCTTAACTTTATTCTTCAGCACAACCACAAACAAAAACATAAAGTATTACATTTTTAGCAAGATTTGATTGGATTAAGCTATTGATTTCAGGTTTTGGGGTAAAATTGTGTTTTTCCTCGACATTTCCTGATATTCGAACCCTGTATTAATTCTCTCAAATTGGTTTTGATCAAAAGAAAAAAAACACATAGGATCTAATATTTTACCTGTCAATATAACAACTACGAGGAATTAAGTAGATATTAATTTAAAAATGTACTTCATATACATAAAAACTAATAACTTCTGTACTATTTGTCTTATCAACTTTGTTTTGGCTTCATTCGACTCAGCAGTTTTTTTTATACTTTATACTTTCAAAAAACTTTATGACTTTGAAACTTTTACCAAACAATACTTCACTTGTTTACATTAAGAAGGTTAAGTTTTGCCCTTTATTGACCGCTTCTTCCGCCTATTCAATAAATTCAAGATGGCAGCTAAAGCTAACCTTAGATGAAGAAGCAAATTTAAGTTATCCATATTGGATACAAAGCACAACTAAAAATTGATTTCTAGCTTTCACTAATTGCTTTGATAGTTAAATACACAGTTACATAGTCTAAAAACTTTTTATGAACTTCGAGTAATCAATTTTTAAGGTATCAAAGTCAAATATTTGAATGTTGTGTTTTTTATAAGTTTTATGACTAAGATTAAGTGGTAGATATTAACAACTAACACTTACTATTACTATATTCAATCCTCAGCTTAAGGCCTTGGCACACTCTAGGCCAGGGGTGTCAAACTCAAAAGCTAACTTGGGCCAAATAAACAATTCTTAACTTTAGGTGGGCCGCAAAAAAACAAAAAAAAAATTCAGTGTTCATAGAAACAAATATTTTTATTTTGAGCAGTGCATTGTAATAAACATATATAAAGTAAAGTATTGTTTGATATTTGACATCTCTTCTCTGCTACTATCTTCCTTATTTCGAGAGAAATTTTATTGGCCAAGACAACTTTCAAAATTGACCCAATGTGAGCGTTATTAATACGGTTTCGGACAGAATATAATTGCTCGTACTGATAAGTACTTCCAACCATGGAAATAATTTCATATGCCAATTTTCGAGTACAGTAGGGAACCGATTATCCGGAACGATCGGGACCATCGCTATTCCGGATAACTGATTTTTCCGGTTATCTGAATCGCTACAAAAAGCCGTTTTTTTATTGTTAAACCCAACTAAAAAAAAAATTTTTTTGTAANGCCGCAAAAAAAGAAAAAAAATTCAGTGTTCATAGAAACAAATATTTTTATTTTGAGCAGTACATTGTAATAAACATATATAAAGTAAAGTATTGTTTGATACTTGACAACTCTTCTCTGCTACTATCTTTCTTATTTCGAGAGAAATTTTATTGGCCAAGACAACTTTCAAAATTGACCCAATGTGAGCGTTATACGGTTTCGGACGGGAGATTTTTTTCCATTCATAGCAGAATATAATTGCTCGTACTGATAAGTACTTCCAACCATGGAAATAATTTCATATGCCAATTTTCGAGTATTTTCAAACTATGCCCGTAAATTATTTGTAAATTTCAGGCACACCCACTTCAATGAATTTACCTTTAAATTTGAGTCGCACTGAATCTCAATCACTTCCATTTGCATATTACTGGGTACCGAGTCTATATTTATTGAGCAAATCGAAGAAAACAAGCAAAATTAGTCTTCCAAGGAATAAAAATCTTTAAACCTTGTTTCAAATTCTGTTCTAAGATTTGAAGTTTTTTCTGCGTATTTTTGATAAGATGCAGTATTCCTGGAATGGCAGGTACCACAAGCCAATCAGAATTTTACATTTTCGCGCGTACAATTTAAAATTATCCGTAAAGTTCATAAATAAAGTGTATTATAATTTTATATGCTAGTTTCCCTTCTAATTCACATTTATATTTATTTTTACTTTGCGTCGAATATATTGACTGGGCCGCAAAAATTTTCATCTCGGGCCACATGAGGCCCATGGGCCGTGAGTTTGACACCCCTGCTCTAGGCTGTTGTGCCGAATACAATGATTGCTTCAATAATTACCAGGAATTGAAATGAATGAGAAAAAGCCAATATAATAATACATAGAACTTACCTCTTCTAACTTCTTTCTAGCATCTTTCAACTCATGATCATATATCGTATACTCTAAAGACCTATTAAAAAAATAAATAACCACATAAGTAAAAGTTAATTCATACTGCATGACTTGAGAACACACATCGGCGTCAAACAGTAAAAAAAAGCAGTTACCAGAATATGAACTTTACATAATGTGGTTTCAACTTTAAGATTATTATTCGGTGGAACCTTACAAGAGCCTTCAAAGAAGGAAAAATCTATCTTAGTATGGCAAAAAAATGTGGTAGTATCGTATCAAAAATTGTACAATATTCTACTTATTCTTTTAAGATAGTACACTTGTAGTATTTTTACAACCTGGTATTAACGTTTTATATTATTTGGGGCAAAAAAATATTAGACATCCTCAAAACTTTCATCTGGTTGATGTTTTTCCCATTCCCTTCAACTTTACTTTGCACGTTTAGCAATTTTAAACTACTGTAAAACCTCTGTATAATGATCCCTCCTGGGAATATATCTAAAAGAATAGTATTAAGAGGCAGCTGTTAATGAAACTATCAACAAATTGCTCAAAATATTAAAAACAGATACAATACAATACTGATTACTTTTTGTTTTAAATGTCATTAATTTGTGCTATTCTGTTTTCACCTACTCATTCCTTTCTTGCTATTTCAAAAATTTTAATTTTATGATTTAATGTCAGGAAGTTTCACTGATATTCTGATTGTTCATGCACTCAAGTTCTTTTCAGACATAATATCTACCAGCATTATGAGCTTAAAGGAAGAAAAAATTAAATTAATCTACAATACAGCAAGCAAAAGTTATTTATTTCGTACATGTGAAAATATTTTCTTTCAATTATATAAATAAAGGCTGAGCGATGACACATCAGGAATTGTTTGAAATGTTTAAAAAAAACAAGATTCACAAGAACCTTTCAAAAAAGTTGAAAAATTTTGAATTTTAAGGTATACAATTTTTAACAAAATTTTGAAGTATGTAATTTCAAATAACAAATTACAAAATTTCAATAGTTCCTGAGACAACGAATTTTAAATATACAACTTCTTCAAAATTCGATTTCTCAGAAACTATTCAATTGATTTCACTCAAATTTCATTTTCTCTCATGCAAAATTACATACTTTAAAATGAAATAAAAAAATTTATAACTTAAAATTTTTTTGATTATTATTTAATATAATTTTTAAAAAAAAAATTTTTTAAATAAATATTTACTAAAAAAAATTTTTTTTTTGCATGGAATTATCAATGGATAAACGAATTTTATAATTGTGTGCAAAACTTTTGTTATTCGCTTAAAAAGTTCGAGATATGGAAAATTATGCAAAAAATAAAATTAACATTAAAGGGTACAAGGTTTGGATCGCTCTCCTGGCCAAACTATAAGGACCATATTTTCCAGATTGGAGGTACCTCCTATAATTTGAGGGTCAGAAATTCAAATCTGTCGAAAAAACTGTATGTTTATTCAGGGAAAGTACGTTTTTGTGTTTGGTTTCTTAACTTAAAATATCATCTGGACCAATTAATAAGTCCCTCGAAATATTAAGAATGAGTCCTAAAACATGAAGATTCAATCATTAAATCGAAAGTTATTCCGGATGGTGCATTTTTTTTTTGTGGCCCACTGTACATATGGTAATGAATTTCTCTTAAAGAAACGTTAAATAGGCAAATGTTAATTATAATAAATGACATTAAAAAATTCTGATTATTTTTCTTTAACTAAAGTTTTAAAAATAAAGAAAAAAATCAAAAAATATTTCAATGAGATTTATGAGGAAAATATGACTTTTTATTTGCTTATTTTTCATTTATTATTTTGCGATAATTCCATCCAATTAGTTAAAAGATTTTCACAGTAAATGAGTCGTTATTTTTTATTAAATCTAATTGTACATAGACTTGGTGTTGAAGAAAAGCTTTAGGAGAGACAATCAAAACGTTTCCCAGAGACCAGGCACATCAAATGCAGAAAAGGTCAAATAATGAAGCACAAAAAACTATTAAAATAAAAAATATTAACAAAACAATTAAGTAGATTCAAATGTGTACAAAATATTTGTAAGTGGCTCTTATTTAGAGAACTCATTTTTACGGTCTTAGAAACCGATGAACAACTTTGTGTTGCAGTCAGAGAGCACTAAAAACGATGCTATCAATGATTTAGTTTTAAAGTTAGACGAGAAAAAAAGTACTTTTAAAAAAAACTAGGCATCTCAAACAAATATCTCATTTTTTAAAATAAACTAATTTTTATGATATAAAATTAAATGCAAACTAAAACAAAAAACATGTTTATTTAAAATAGTTGTATTATTTATAATTGGGAAATTTGTTTTTTCCCACATAATTACATCAATAAGGATCATTTCTATTGACGTTAAAGTTTATTTGTTGATCTGTTTTTCACGATGCCAACACAAGTGGCATTTTCCGTACCAATGAAATGACACTGACGAAAATTAAAATCGGCGAAAAATCGTGTATCTGCCATAACAATGAAGGCAACCTCTAAGAACGACCAATCTCGGTTGACGACCATTTTAACCCCTTAACTGCCGAGTAAAATTAATGTGATTCGCTTCCCAGTGCCACCGTTTTTCGCTCAAGTGCACTTTCTTACACAGTGTTTTGGTAGGGAAAATGATGCAAGCTTTGCAATTTAAAAACAGTTTAATTTTACAAGACAAGAAAAAGGAAAGAAAGAAAATACAAAATTTAAATTAAATAATAAAAATACAATATAAAAGATGTCAAAACTTAGCTGTTGTATGATAAATCCTGAAACATGGTGGACACATAAACCAACATCACATCATGGATAGCGTGAATCCCGCTATCATCGCACTGATACCGAGATTCACGAAGATTTTTTTTTTCTTGAACAAACAGCACATTTTCGCGATGCACTTTTCTTTGAAGACGTTGATGAAAAGAATAAAAAGCACCAAATACATACGGGAAACAAAAGCGGAAAAAGAATAAACCCGACCTTACTCAAATAAATACACACAAGCGATTAATACGATATCACTTTTCCATAACATCCTTTTCCCATCTCCCCTCGTCCGAAATTAGTAATACATTTGCAAATCAAACACTTTCAAGGCCATTTTACTGCATTCTGAAGTAGGGGGTGTAGTTCTATTTATAGCAGCGCAATGCAAAGCATCGTACTTCGGGAAAGCGTATATATACGCCTGCGGCAGTTAACGCATCGTCTGGCCGAGACGTATATATATGCCCACGGCAGTTAAGGGGATAATAAATAATTACAATATAAAATAAATAAATAAAATAAAAAAATTTATAACTATAAAATAAATTTAAACATAAATATTTTAATGTTACTTTTATCTTTAATGTTAATGTTTTTACTGTGGTCATTTAATATGCAAATTTTTATGTATATAGCTATATATCAGACAAAGCATAATTTTTAACCATGCCTGACTGTGGTACGGTTTCATGCAAAAAATTTGGATTATTAAAGTAATTCTGCAACCAGGACTAAATCAATGTGATATTAACTTATTAAAAAGACCTATCTTCATAACCATTAGCATGTGAGTCTGCTGTTAAGAGTTCTGGTGACAACCAGACAGTAGCAAAAATTACTGTTTCTGAACACTTATAAATATAGAATAAAAATTCCTTAACTTGTAATTTGTGTTCCTTTATATAATAAAAAAAAATCAGTGATGGGAAAGAAAGCAAGCATTAAGCTGATAATGCAGCCTTTTTTTTAAAAATTCAAGTCTGTTTTTTACAGGGTTCAGAAAAAAAAATGTCAAATCTGGTTAATTATTCATAATTCAAATAATTCATATACGACAAATAATTTTAAAAACAAAATTTAAAGAATACTTTTTTCAAAGAATCTTGTTCAATTTAGATTGCAACAGCTTTGATAGTATGATTTAGGGCAAATAAGGATTTTATTCAATGTTCATTCAATTATATTTATTCTATCATCATTTAAGAACTTTTGTAAGCACAATCAAAATTATTTTGAAAAAGAAAAATTATGAAAAGATCTGGATAATTTTAAATTGAATGTTATTACTTTAAGCGAATTTTTGTGGCCTACAAAAAAAAATTATTGAATTCTTTTTTAACAAAAATAAAAAATACCTTCGCATTTTGTCCCATTTTTGATATTCCTTAAGTTCTTCTTTTTCCTCCTCTAGAGTTTTTAGCCTCTCTTCAATGTACTTCAGAAGATCTTCAATTTTTTCAGTTTTTCCAACTGTTTCCTTTAAAATATTTCGACTTTCCTCTCGTCTTTCATCATATACTCTGGTACCTGCTACTTCCCGAAGCAATTTTAACCGCTGAGAATCTGGAGCAGTTGCCATTTGATTAATCTAGAAAAGAATTACAAGAGAGATGTTCATTAATCAGTTTACAAAAAATCACAAAAATAGAAATCTTTGTAATTCAGATCGCCAACAGAAAAAGTCCAGGGTTAGCAGTACATTTCAAAATAATTGAGAGCTTTCAACACATGCAAATATATAGGGTGGACATAAAAGAATAAAAATTACCAAATAGAAATGTTATGCAAAGTATTACTAAACATTTAGAATATTCTACACTTACAAAATTTTATATATTTTTAATCAACAACAGGATTAAAAATTTTAAAAAGTTAGACCCTGGTTGAAAAGACCATAGATTAAAAGATTCATTAATCCAAACATACTGCACCTGTTCTTCAATAAATATTTAATAAATACTTAAAAAATACCAACAACACAAAAAAATTAACATGGCAAATACAACTATTTTATACAGTTATTCAAGAAAGGGCATAAGTCACATATTTCAGAAAATAGAGTTAGCAGTTATTTTTCCAAAATTTTTCTGAAAAGAAAAAAAATCTCATTACAAATAAACGCTTTATTCAGTCTTCAAAATTTTGATTTAGTGCAGAAAGAGCAGACTAATACCATTACTTAATTTTTAACAAAGTTCCCACTCAACATTAGGAAAAAAATTCCCTGACTTTTCCTGATTTGTCAGGAAAATTTCAATGAAAATTCAGACCATATTTTAACTATATCATGCAATTTTTCATCAGAAAACTTTTAATTTTTTTTTATTTGTAATGTCAAATATTAGATTTTGTGAAAAAAAAAAAACATAATTGAATGAGAATGGAAACATGGAAGTTTTAATAAAATATGACATTTTTAAAACAAATAATTCTAATAGAAATATTTTTCCTGTTCCCCCTGACCTGTGGAGCACTGTTTTAATCGTTAGCATTATTAACTTTTATTGCATTAACTCATTATTGTCTAATTTATATCTAGAATAGCAAATAAATAAATAAATAAAAAATACTTGATACGTTTAATTTATCTATAAAATGAAAACCTGGTATTGAATCCAGAAAAATTTTAGAAGTGAGATTCATGCCACTTCTCAAATAACTAAATCAATAATTTTAACAACTTACTTTTCCTTGTTTCACAATATAATAAGGATTGCTTCTTGAAAAACCAGCACTTTCCAATAAATTCATCACATCAGTTCGCCTGTATGTACACAAAAATCAGTTCAATACAAACAAAATTTGTACTATTTTGAATAAAAATAAAATCTAAGTTAGGAAGCCTTTAGAAAAAATATTACATTCTCAATTCAAAGTTAATCTGCCATTTAAAGAAAATAAATCTAGGTGAAATATTTATATTCATTAATTTTGTATTAGGACATTCATTATTAATTTTATTAGTAATAAATTTTGCATTTGGACATTCATTATTAATTTGCATTTGGATAATTATTATTAATTATTAATTTTGGCATAAATATAGACTTAAAAAATTTTTTTGAGGGGAACATTTCATACAAGATATATTTACTAGATAATTTAGAGATAGATAATTTAACTTTTAAAACAAAAGTTAAAAAATAAATAAATAATTAAAAAAGCATTAAAATAAAGTTGGAAGTTAATTTTCATGTTCAATGTCTTAAAACTAAGTTAAAACAAAGCTCGGATTGCTTCTGGAAGAAATCTATTCCTTCCAAGACACTGGAAGAATCTTGTTTCGTATAAAATACTAGAAGAAACAGGAAAAATCAGAAGCAATAGAACAAAATGAATAGATATTGATACATAGATTTAAAATTCTGTTTGAAATTAAAATAATGTAAGTTATTTCTTTTTAAAAAAAAAGGTGGTTGTAAACTTTTTACTGGTACTAAATAAAATTTTCTTGCTTAATTTTTATAACTAAACAATTGTATTGGTCAATTTTAATTTCTTTTATTCCATAAATTATTTTCCTGGTGTCCTGGAAGAAAAAAAAACCTTTTTATGGAAAAAAAATTTCCAGATTAATAGGACACATCTAAAACCTTGATTGATGAAACAGCAGAAAACTCTTAAACAAATTTTAAAAAGATATTGCAAGGGTTAAAATATTTTTTTCCTTCAAATCCTATACATTATTTGTTAGTTGGGTGAATTTAATAAAAAAAGTTCTCGAAAAAACACATTATCCCTAATGTGGGAAAATTCAATTCTTTGTTAGTCAGGGTTGGCAAGATTTTGCCGTAGGTGGAAAAAACCATGGTAAATACCAGCAAAAACCGTCCTGGCATAAACAGGTTTTTGCCAAGCAAATTGGCAAAAAGTGGCAAAAACCTATATTTTCCAAGATGAGAGGACAAAAACACATTTTTGATACAAAATTATTCCTAAAATTGAAATATATACTATAAATATAAATAATTACAAAAAAATTAACAAAATTATTATTCCATAATTAAATCATAATGTAATAATATATCATTTTAGTAGTTTAAAACATTATTGATTGGAAAATTTGTGATTATTCTTTTTTTTCCAGTGAAATGAACTTATTTTAAATTAATATAACTATAATTTAAAACATAAAATATCTATCAATATGTGTAGTTAATTATTGTACAAATAATAATTTTTTATAATAAATAATAATATTATACAAATAATAATATTTATTTATNAGGTATTGTGCCCCGGGCGCGAGTTAAGCTCTCTACGGCACTGTTAGCTTCCGATATTATTGAAGTTATTCTAATTATTTTGCTGGGATACTATTCCAACTTCATCAGGACACTCATTTTTTTTAAAAACATTTTTGTTTAACTATAGGTTTCTATAGAAAATTAAATATTTATTGCCAAAAAGATTATTTTACAATAATAGGAAAACTTTTATTTTTGCTTTTAAACCTTAAACAGTTATTTTGTGTTAAATATTAAAAAAAATTGCATTTTATTAGTTACGAATTAATGTTCAAGCAAAGAAAAACTCCTAATCAAAACTAGTTTTATGGTCTGAGATACCTAGGAGCAGTTTAAATCTCATTATTATAACTTAATTTTATTTTTTAATTTAATTTGATGAAATTCGGTGTTCGTAGTAATCACACTTCACATCCCTTCTATTTCCTCTGGCAATCAGACGGGTTATAACATTTTCAGTTCAACCCTCCAGAGTAGTAAATTAGTAATTTAGTATATTTCCATTGTTTGTATTTTTCTCATTTAAATATTAATCACATTCACTAATGTTACCTCATTTTTCCTAAGAATTCTAAAAATATTCAAAAGGGGGGCCATTGCAAAATACCTTGCATAAGTATATTTTTATATTCTTCTTTGTTTACTAAATGAAACAAAATTTAAAAAATACTTTCATATTAATTCGTATTTTCTAGTTATTTTTTCCCCCTTACAATAGAATAACAAGCTATTCCAACTATTAGAGGAGTTTCTATTATTTATGGAAAGGAAAAATTGCAACACTTTATGTATATAATAATTGTTTTCATTTTTTTTAAGTAATTAGTTTCGTAAAGTACTTCGATCATATTACACAATTTACAATTTAAAGAATTATAAATAATATAGAAACATATAGCACTCAAATTAAACACCCAAAACGGAAATCTAGCTACCGGAAAATCGTATCGGAGGTCGATGTGCTCCAGCTTTACTAGACTCTTGATCATTTTTTTTACTTGGTCGACTTTTGACCGTTGAATTTTAAACCTTCGAATTTTACCCTTTACTACAAAATGGTCGGAGTATCAGTAGTAAATTTTTAGCTCACAAATTAGCAGGTTATATATATATATATTTGAAAAAAAAGAGAGAGAAAAAAAGTCAATTGCATTTATAAACATTTCAATGTATTTACGACGCGATTAAAATAATTTGTACTAAATAAAAAATTTATTTTAAGGATATGAGAGACCCTATGTCAATAAGAAAGCTTAAAGCAATGAATGTATTTTTAAGTCACTGCTTTTTAAAAAAAAAATTCAAAAAATCCTTACGTGACCATCTTTTTATTCAGAAAGTATTGATCCTTCTTGGACCCAATAACTCTTCGAAGCGATACTTCATCCTTGTCGATCTGGAAATATATGGAAGTCATGTTCATATATTATATGCAGATTTCACAAGTTTGGTATTTATAATTGTTGAAGATTCAAAAGTGTACTGTAATTAGCCTGACAATGTTTTGAATCACTTGTAACTTTGCCTTAAAAAGGGAACATCACCGCAAATTCTAAAACAGTGATTCGCTTTTAGAAAATAAATTTATCAGATTTCAGTATACCCTCGATATCTCGAGCTTCAATAACTAAAAAACCTTGTTACGGCAAAAAATATTTTTCCCCTTTGGATTATATATCCTAATGTTAATTTGAATTTCTATGTCAAAGGGTTTCTTTTCGAAACCTTGTCATGCCAAATTTTTTCGAAATAGGAAATTAATTTTTTCGGAAAAATCTTAATAAAAGTTCATTGCAAACCAATTCTTTTCAATTGAATGAATAGTTAGTTTTGTCGAACTTTTAAAAATAAAATTATAATTATTATATTTAAACTTATAGTCAACTATCATTACATATATATATATTTAGCAATTATTATAAGTTTCATGACTCTACTTTTAAGAGCAATAGTTTTGAAGATATTTTTCTACTTTTTAGAACATATCTAGTTCTGAAACTGCTATAATGAAAACTCGCCAACTCGAAATTTTTTTAGCTTCCATTTGACTTTGAGATAATGAGAGTATATAGAAAAACTTAAACATTCTATTTTACAATATTCTAAAATATATTTTGAAATACATTTAATTCAGTCCATAAAAGAAACTCAGTGAAACTAAAAGTGTATAAGTACACTGCATAAAAAGAACATGAAAAACCTAAACGACTATCGATCTAACGATAGGATTTCACACACTAGGAGTCAATTTTAATGATAATGGCTTAAGAGCCTAACCATACAAATACTAATTAAGTTGTGCAGATGACATTTCAAATTTTAAAATCAGTCACAAAAACATACTATAAGAGAATAAACTTTATTCTCTACAGATACAAATTTCTGACCATCAAAATATTTGGAGTAGCAACAATCTGGAAAGCATGGTCTGGAGGGAAATCGAAAGTTTTGAACTCTGTATATTTAATTTAAGTTTTTGCATACTTTACTAAGCAAATTAAAATCTTTGTACACAATTATGAAACTCGTTTGCCCAAAGATGATTCATTGATAGCAAATAATTTTAATAATTACTTTTTAATAATAATCTAATTAATTCATTAATAATAATCGAAAAAAATTTGATTAGTAGGTTATTAAACTTCTTACATCAATTTGAAGTTAATAACTGCAAATGACAAAATCCGAAATTTGAATTAAACTAGTAGAGTAAGCTATGGAGAAATCAATTTTAACTACGCAACTTTTTAAAAATTAATATATCAAAAACTATATTGCCGATTTCGCTTGAATTTTGTAATTTATAATTTTAAATCATTGGCTTTAAAATTATGTAAAAATTAGTATACCTTAAATTTCAAACATTTTTTTTGACTATTAATAAATAAAATTAAAATATTAAGTGATTATTGAAAACTATTTTTACAGGAATTATCTTTGTGTAGACAAGTTTCTTAACTTTGTGTAAATTTTTATGGCTTACTTAAAAAATTTTGTTGAAAAAACAATTAAACTAGACAACAAGTGATACGAACTTTTGACTGCTCTCGTTCCTAAACTATTGAGACCATATGTTTTTGATTGTAACTATTCCCTATCTTACGATATTCAAAAATTTGAATCCGCTGAAAAAAATATTGTTTATTCAGAGAAAGTATATTTTTGCTTCTATAAATAACTCAAAATATCATCTGCACTAGCCCCTAATTATTTGGTATATTTCAGGTTAGGACCTCAAACCATGAAGATAAGAGTCGTAGAATATAAAAATCTGATAACAATCATAAAAATCCAATCAGATCAATAACATCTGATCATATTTAATTCAGAAAAATGCACAGACCACACTTTTGTTGGATAATATATTATTAATTAACACAATACATCAGCATAAGTGAGAACAATTAATTTTAATACAGTTTACTGAATTTTACAAATTTCAACAAATATAGTAAGTTAAAAAATTAAAATAAAAGGAAAGTTAAATTGGTTTATTACATCCACTTTTATCATTAATAAAAAAATACAAAAATATGATTATACAATGCAAAAAAAAGAGACTTACAATAAAGGGATCTCATGTGTAATATAAAGTCAGACATTGATTTTTCTTAACTATCACTTCAGTATTACAAGAAATATTTGTAGTTGCACTTTAACATTTTCAGAATGATAAGCTAATGTTCATACAAATGTACTGTTCTTGATTTTGTGTTCTTGAATTAGTCTCTTTAGTGTTTTATTATTTAGTTCTTAAAAAAATCTAAATGAACCTATTCTTCAATTTTTTTATAGGCATCTGTCAAGAATTTCACAAAACTAGCTTCATTCTATGGCCTCTTTTCTCTTAAGCTAATTTTAAAAATAAAATAAAATGGATACAAGTAACCATATGTTTAAAAATCCTTACTTGAAGGAAGGCACATTTAATTTTAGGATAAGTTCAAATGCAATGTTTAACAAAATATTTTGAACACTTACGGGTAGTCTACTGTCAGAATTGTCAAAAATAATTTCAACATATGCATTAAGCACTCTGGGCCCAGTACCTTCATGAAGCAAGCCCTGGCGTTGCTCAGGTCGCAGATGAGAGAATTCATCACTCAGAACAAACTGAATGGCTAAAAAAGAAGAAATCTTAAATTATTGCATTGTATAACAGCCAATTTTTACTGTACTATGTGCAAGGTAAAAGCAGAACATTTAAAAAATAAATTTTTATTCAAATAAATCAAGTAAACAGATTAACATGCAAAACACACATCTTAATGGGTAGACCTTGAATATGCATGCTAATTAATGCAATCGATATTTTAAGTAGTAAATCGGACACAAAAACATCCTTTTTCTAAATAAATGCATTTTATCTTTTCGCAACACAAATATGCATTATTACAATATATTCAATCATAGATACAATAACACACACATTGTATCTTTACTCATATTTCTTTCCTTCAAAATACTTTAATATTAAATATAATTTAAATATCAAAATAATTTAAAACCAAGAGATTGTAAAGATTACACAGGGGTCTGTCTAGGTTTTTCTGAGAGGTACCTAATTTGTGAAAATTTAGGCATAGTTTGTGAAAATTAAAATTTATATTAAAAAATCTACATGGTAAAAACATATTAATGAGATTCNTAACACACACATTGTATCTTTACTCATATTTCTTTCCTTCAAAATACTTTAATATTAAATATAATTTAAATATCAAAATAATTTAAAACCAAGAGATTGTAAAGATTACACAGGGGTCTGTCTAGGTTTTTCAGAGAGGTACCTAATTTGTGAAAATTTAGGCATAATTTGTGAAAATTAAAATTTATATTAAATATGGTAAAAATATGGATTTATCGTTTCTTACGGGATACAAAAATAAAATTTTAAGAAAAAGTATTTTGTGAAACTACCGTTTTTCCTAAAGTTGAATTTGTGAAGGTACCGCTAAACTGTAGTAAATTTGGCCTGGACAGACTCCTGTTACCTCAATCTTTAATTCTTGTCTTAGCAGATGCACAGCAATAAAAGTATGACACTAGAGCCATATTGAATCTGCTAACAATTAACCAATTTACTTCTTGAAGCATAACATTACTTCTTAATGAATCAACATTTTCAGACTCTATTCAAAACAGCACACCTCTAACTAAGATAAGTATCACAATCACATTAGGTATCTAGACTCTGTGTATCACTTCAAAATTAATTTTAACATTCTAAATTTATTTGGGCATTATAAAAAGATTGAAATAAAAAATCAGGTCTTATCCTTTAACAATACATTACAAAAAAACATCAGTCTGAATTTTGGGCAAATTTATATTTGGCAATAACACCTAAACTAAAAACATACAATTAACAACATAGGAGATAAAATCAAAACCTTTGCTCCAACCACCCGATCATTACATATACTTATTTGCATGCACAAGTACAATCCAAAACACACATTGGCAGTTACTATTGACAAAAGGAAGAAAAAAAAAATCCCTAAAAACAAGTGCAGGTGCTTAACAAATCAGCAATCAAGAATAAAATTAACAAAACTGAAACTTACCATAAAAAAAATTACTCTTTCCAGAACCATTTCGGCCCACTATAAAATAAAAAATTTTGTTAAATGGCTGATAATTTATGAACAAATATACTATCTACAAAAATGCACCATGTTACCAATAATGTTTCTCATATTTTTAAGATTAAAATGGTAAAAACATAACATTCTATATTACATACTAAAAATGATTTCTTAACAATTAAAAAATATAGTTACCAATCACATTGTGGCGTGGACTAAAAGGCTCAACTACAGTTTGTTCTCGGTAGCTTCTAAAACCCTGTATAATGATCTAAAGAAAAGGAATAACTTAGAACACCATAACATACAAAATTTTGAATATAATTTCAATATTTTATCAAATTTGCTCAAACTCATTCAAGTGAATATGAATAATTTATAGTTATCATGTGAATGTATTACAAAAAACTCATCCTCGTAGCTGACCCCCTTAAAGTTAAGAGGAAGGCTAATTTTATTTTTCTATAACAGCAGCTATAGTTTTCAGTACTTATTCATTTTAACAGTGTTTTCATCATAGACAAAAAATGAGTGAGAATTTCTCACCCTTTCTTAAAAACAGGGTGAGATTTCAAAAAGTTAAGTGAGATTTCTATAAACTAAAAAAACACAAAAACTCTTGAAAAAAAATAATTTCTTTAATTATAATACATTTTTAACGTCTTCTATTTTTTAAAGCATTGAATATTTTTGGTGAATCATAGAGGATTTTGCCTTTACAAGGTATTTGTCCATTTTACATTAGCACATAAAAAATTTGAATGTCTCACATGAAGAAACCTTACCTACGGTAAACACGTGGTTGCAGAGAAATGTGTTCTGAAAGGGGTTCCGTGGTTGTGTTCTGTTGTTCGAAAAGGTTCTGAACAATACTGGTAAATAGGGAAGCTAGATAACGGGGCAGTTGTTGAAAATAATGAAAGATTCAGGAAGAAAAGTGAAACAGATTTTATTCTAAATGGCGTAATTCGAAGCTTTTACCAAAATGCGAGAAATTCGCGAATTTTGAAATTGATTTATAGAATGCGCGAATTTCTCGCGGTAATCATTTTTTGATGCGAGAAAAGAAAAAAATATGCGAGATTCCCGCGTTCTCGCGCTGTAGTGAAAACACTGATAAATGTAGGAGTTTATCACAAAGATTACCTAATTCTTTGCGCAGGTAAAGAGAAAATGTTCATAAATGTTCAGTACAAGAATCTCGCATATTTTTTTCTTCCTCACATTAAAAAATTATTACTGGGAGAAATTTGCGCATNATTAGTTATATGTTCCTTATATGTCAAAAATGCATAGTAATAAACTTTTAATTTTCTTAAGTATCAAAAAGAAAGAAAAATTTTTTTAAATATAAATATTTAAACAATTTTTGTGCAAAATTTTTCTGCACATGCATTTGAATATAAATTTCTGAGATTTTAAATCTGTTATTTTACCTTAATTTTAATAAAAAAATATTTTAAAACCTGCTGATTACCTATAGTATAATTAAATTTCAATATAATGCATGGCAACTGTTGGTAGTTTTGAAGTTAATATATTTTCTTGGCAAACTTCAGTTTTTGACATTTTCGACGGGTTTTTGACGGTTTAAACCAGTATTATACCCCTGTCATGTCAAAAACCACTTTTTGACGTCAAAAACCCAACCCTGCCAAGTGGTAATGAGTATACTGTAATTTTTGGTAGTAAGGCTACCCCATCGTACAAGATGCACCTGTAAAAAAACATATTTAAATTTGTTTAATTATCATAGCATAGGCCCTACTGTCATATACGCCACACTTCCAGTAAATATTAAACAATATTAAGAAAAAAACCCACTTCTAAGAAGAAATTTCAAAAGGTGACAGTGTTTCTGAATTAATTGTAGTAATAGGGATTACTGTTATAGTAGTAATAGATTCACAGTAATATTTTTGGAGAAAGGCAACATCATTATACACACCGCAGCTACAAAAAACATGTTTAAAATTTTCGATTATTGTCGCAAAAGCAGCGCTGACCTGTCAAAAAGTGTCAAATACGGGGTCAAGTTTTTTCTTTGGCAATTGGTACCATGGGGAAATAATTGGTCTAAAAAAATTTGTAGGAATTTTTTTCCTACAAAATTTTTTCTTAAAAATAAAACACTTTCATGAAATTTTTTCTTGTTAAAAAAAAACATACGTCAATTTGTGTATTTGTTTTAAGTTAAGTTGTGTACTATTTATTAGTCTCTGCAATGAGAGATCATGATTCCTTTCTTTTAGATAATGTTATTTTCAATATATATCTCTTCATAAATTTTTTTTTTTTTTTTTGCCATTGANATGATTCCTTTCATTTAGATAATGTTATTTTCAATATATATCTCTTCATAAAAGTTTTTTTTTTTTTTTGCCATTGAAGTTTTTTCAAGATGAAAAAAACTTTTGCCCATTATCAATGTGGTCTTCAAATCATATTTGAAGTGCTCTGTTTTACTCATAACAGTGACCTAATGAAATAAAAATACTGAAATTGCATAATGTATCTAATTATACTTAAAGTTATTTTTGAATAAGTCAACAAAAAGCCGAAAATTCATGAAAAAGTATTGAATTCAGTAAAAATGCTAAAAAATCACTTCAGACTTTCAGAAATTGTATGAAGTTTATTCAAGCTATTTTTAAGAAAATTAATAAATATTAAAACTACCATTGTAAAACGCATATAATTAACACCTGTTTCAGGAGCGCTACCATATCGGTGTCTATAACGAAAAAATTCACTAAATTTTGGCAATAACCAGGCAGTACATGTGAGAAATTAAAAACAAACATTACTAAAAGGGCCAACACAGGAACATTTATGGATAGTAATCCATGCCAAAATGCATCAGAAATTCTTGGCGATTGGGAATGAGATGCTAAAGAAAGAGAAATATTAAGCATTGTGTTCTGTGGCAGAATAATCATGATATCTAGAAAATTTTTGACAATTGCGATCTAACAATCTTGACAATTGCGAGAAACAAACAAAAAAAAATTTTTAAAAACACACAGAAGGGGACCAATTTTAAAATATATAATTTAAAGTAAGACGCAGGAAAATCTCCATAAAAAAAATTTTTTAAATTTAAAATTAGCAAATTTAGAATTAGAATCCAATTTGACAATTATAGTTGGCACCACAGATTAAATACGGAAAAAAAATCTTCCAACCTAAAAGGTATACTATTATGCAGCCACTCTCAGCAAACTGTATTTTTGCAAGTAAAACCTTTTGGTGTTTTTTTGGTGAAGGTGCAATTTACAAACAAATACCAATAGGAAAATATCACTTATAACTCTAACATTGTATGTTAAATTATTATATTTAGCGTACCAAAATGAACCATCAAATTTCATTCATAGATCTACTTAAAGCAGGGTTGGGTTTTTGACATGACAAGGGTATAATACTGGTTTAAACCGTCAAAAACCCGTCAAAAATGTGAAAAACTGAAGTTTGCCAAGAAAATATATAAACTTCAAAACTACCAACAGTTGCCATGCATTATATTGAAATTTAATTATACTATAGGTAATCAGCAGGTTTTAAAATATTTTTTAATTAAAATTAAGGTAAAATAACAGATTTAAAATCTCAGAAATTTATATTCAAATGCNTTAAAGTAAGATGCAGGAAAATCTCTATAATTTTTTTTTAAATTTAAAATTAGCAAATTTAGAATTAGAATCCAATTTGACAATTATAGTTGGCACCACAGATTAAAATATGGAAAAAAAATCTTCCAACTTAAAAGGTATACTATTATGCAGCCACTCTCAGCAAACTGTATTTTTGCAAGTAAAAACCTTTTGGTGTTTTTGTTGGTGAAGGTGCAATTTACAAACAAATACCAATAGGAAAATATCACTTGTAACTCTAACGTTATATATTAAATTATTATATTTAGCATACCAAAATGAACCATCAAATTTCATTCATAGATCTACTTAAAACAAATTCAGTACTAAATATCCCCCTAAATAAATCTTTAAACAGCAATATGAGTAAACTATATAAAGCTGGGTTATCTTCTGGTGATTTCTAAATCAAACAAGCACACCCGGATAAAATTTTACGGAGATAATAAAAATCCAGATAAATACAATTTGTCTTCAAAATTTTAGATGGAGTGTAATACACCACTGTTTAATAAAAAACCTATCGTGCTAGAAGTATAACTAATTGTTCTACGGAATATCAACCAAAAAAATCAATACCTAATATTAACGAAAAGAAAGAAATATTTCTTTTTATTTATTTAGAACAAAGAATAGGATATCATAATTATTCTAAAGCAGTTGTTTTATTTTGAAATAAGTGTTGAGAAAACGAAGACAATACAAATTCAAAAAGTCAAGCTTTGTTAAATATATAAATAAATTTTTATAGCTCAGTTTTACTAAAATCGAGAATGTTTAAGGGATAAAAAAACAAATAGAAGGTGCATGAATATATATAAGTAACATTTACGACCGTCTTAAAATATGTACCAGCGACGAATCATACAAATACAGGCAGAGCAACATATGAAAATAAAAATTAATGCTTACTTGCTTAATATGCATGCTAAATAAATACCTCAGTTAACCCAAATAAACTTTAAAATAATAATTGCAAAGAAACGAAAACAACATTCAACTAATGGAAGGCGGGAAATAAGCAGCTGTTGCCAAGTTAATGTAAATTCCAAAGTTGGAAAATGAGAAGTAATACTTGGCTAGCCTTGTAACCTCTAACAGTTTTATTCTCACTAAAACTAACAAACAACAATTTGAGGGTCAAAAGGTGGGGAGACCCGCGGAGGAGGATAAGAGTGCATTAAAACTACAAGCGATTGCCCTAGTGTTGCTACAATTAAATAGATAGATTATGAAACTATATACATTTTATTTACAAGTTACTAAAATGATGCTTTCAGGAACACAGTCATATAATATCAAGTCAAATTGTAATATTAAAAGCTAGTGGAATTAACTTCATTTTATGATAAGTTTAATCTTAAAAATAAGCATCTACCACAGCTCTGATAGAACAAATAAGTCCACTATAAAACTGTCAAACTTACGAATGGTGAGCATTTACTCCACACCAAGTGCTCTATACAGTTTGTCTACAGAAAGGACACCCCTCATGACTAAGTCCAAGTTTGTCTGCTACTATGGAAACAAGAAACAGCGCATTTCAAAGAGGTGAGCTTCTTTCTGTCCTAATTCCCTTCTCTCACCGACCGGAGCCCAAACCTTTATTAAATATTGATTTAACACTCCTATTTGAAATAGTTAAACTTTGTTACCATTGGCGGTCGAAATGGATTACAGTTGGCTTAGAGCAAAGGGGAAATATCGTAGTACATTCCTGTACAACTGAGAAGGTCGGGATAGCCTGGTTGGTAGTGTACTGGGTCCATGTCCAAGAGGTCATAAGTTCGATCCCCGCCGGTCAAGGAATCCACTTGTAGTAAATGGTAATTGGTGCGCGTTAAATCTGCAGGGTCACAAAGTCTTGCAAGTTCCTATTACAAATCAATACTTCTATGGCTACTGAATTGGAGTTTGAGCGTCCTCTGGTTCAGGTCAAAATTACGATCTGTGGATGAATGAAGGGGTCCGTCTTTTAAAACGGTCTGTGAATGTGTGTGGGGCAGAAGTCGTCATCTTGGCCATAGATGGCGTCAATGAAAACCAAGAAACGCACTAGAAACAACATAACTGAGAAGAGGAGTAAAGGGAATCGTCAAGACATGAAATCGGTCTCTTCCCCAGATGACTTATTCGAGCGTTGCGATCATGACTAGTCACTCACTGCTCCAGACGAATGATGAAAAGAGTTCTTTGAGTAGGGAGACTATGAAACCTGCGCTGGAAAGCTTTCTAAGCGCAGAGAGGTGAACAGACCACAACATTTCAGTTGGTCCAGTGACATTTTATTTATTTATTTCTGCGTCAGACTTAGCTTACCACTCCGTCTAAAAATTTGTTTTCTCACACTTTATAATAATTTGCACAAAATTTATTTTCCAAATGCTTGTGTATTTTAAAAGAAATTCTCAACTTCAATTTTTGTAAGAAATTCAGAATTTTAAACAATTAATCCCACATCAATATTTGAAAAATTATATTATATAATAAAAAATAAGTTTTCGTGTTACATGTTAAATTTTGTTTTTTGTAAAAATAAAAAAAATTTCTCCCATAATCATAATAACTGACCAGACACACAGTAGAAACATGATTTTTGAATTTTTAAGTAAATAAATATACTTAATATTTTTAGCTAATATGCATGAAATTTTAACAAATATTAAGCAAAAATATTTATCAATAGCGCCCCAATGTTTGCATTTGCTTTTAAAAGTGATCAACATTTTTTAGGTACACAATTCTATTCCGAATTAAGTCATATACTTCTTCATCACCACGATAGCCCTCAGTTGCCTTAACTACATGTAATTTCTAACGTTTCCTATCCATGTTGACTCCTCTCGAATTTTTTGATTTCAAGACAATGCCTGAAAAATGTAAATGGAACCTAATATGCCGTGCAATTGAAAAACAAACGCAAGTGCTTCACGATTTATTCCGAGAAAAGTGGCTTGACAACTTTTCTCCTTCTGTTACTAATGCTGTGAACGCTAAAATAAATTTTTAAAAAAGCTGATAAAACAAAATTTATTTCTTAAAACTTTTTTTCTTTTGCAACATGTAGCTCATCTGTTAACGATGACAAATATATAAAAATCCTCAATTTTGAATTTTTTGTCACTTACGCTGATTTTTCAATTGCAGAGCAATATGTTGGTTATTCTTGATTTTTTCCTTTCAATTTTTTTGTATCTAACTTAAATAGAAATTATTTCATAATACTTACCTTCATCACTTAATTCAATCAGCTTACTCAAGTTATGCAATATTTCTCGCCATTTGGCAGGAAATGTCGTATTCAGCAAGGTCAAACTCAAATTATCTGCCAATCACAATTCTTTTAATTTTTAAAAATTATGAAAGTAACCATTTTGACTCTTTGCCCTTCAAGAATCATGTTTTATCCCGCTATGCATGGGTTCCAAGTAGCTTTTGTTTTTTTACCACCTTGTATCAGTCTTGGTGTAAAAAAAACTGCTTTAAAATTATCGCATTTTCAAAACGTAATTTACACAAGATATAATAGTTGTTCTTAAGGGATTAACTTGAATTCACAGGTGTATGTCTCCATGCCAACAAAGCTTTTTACTGTTCTAGTCGTACGTCTGCTCTTGGAGCCTACAAAATTAAAGAATCATATTGATCGTATGACATTGAACTATATTGCTCATTTAAGTGGATACATTTAAAAAGTGTGAAAAATTCAAAATAAAACTTTAAAAATTATAATTAAAGGTAATAAAATTTTTCCATCTTAAAAATTATTATTTTTTCAATATCTAACATAGTAGTTTTGATTTTTCCTTTTTTTTTGGCAACATAGAGTAAGATATATGATTTAGTCAAGAGGTGAATGATTATTAAATGCTAAGGAAAAAAATAAAGCTGGAAAATAAAGAAAAAACGAGGACAATGCACAATAAAATAATATATTTTAGGTGAATTGCAATATGTATTTCAGGTCAAAAGAGTTTTTTTTTATAGTTGGAATAAGCAGAAAATATAGCAGAAGAAGGAATATATATCACTCTAAGAAATTCATTTCTTAGAGTGACATATACAGTATACTTTCGATATCTCGAAGTTGAAGTAACGCTAAAAAAATTTCGAGATGAAAAATTCAGAACAAAATATATTTTAAAAAGTAGAAAAAAATATTCTGAAGTATTACTCTAAAAAGTAGGGTCATGAAACATAAGAATAACTGTGTAAAACCAAGGGGAAAAGTATTTGTTTTGACATAACAAGGTTTTCGGGATATTGAAGTTTAGGACATCGAGAGTATACCGTATATCAGAGGTGATTGTGAGGTCAACTCAAAAATTTCTTGAACAAAATCGTTAATGACGCATTTCAAAAAATTAATGTCTTTATAAATTTAAATCATTGATATTTTCATAACATGAAATTCTAAACAAATTATATGCACCGTAATTTAAATGAATAATTATGTATAAGTTTACTTTTATCTCTAATCACATTTATCATTCTACCAGAAAAAATATTTACAAATGAAAGAAATGCCAAGTATAAATTCCAGTCCTAATATTTTTAAATAAAATATACAAGAATTTTTATACATAAATGCGATCCGTTATTTCTCGAAACTTCTGGACCGTAGATTTCCTGAAACTTTCGGATCGGGGTTAGTAAAAAATCAGGAAATTTGGATTTTTTCCGGAGCACAATCATCTCTGAGATATAAAAAATCATGTTGTTGAGGTTAAACCGAATTTACAACAAAAAAAAGTTATAATGGATGAAACAAATATTTATTTAGAAACAAAAACAACAATGAATTATACAGGTTAATGAGAAAACAAAACAGAAATATATATATATTATGTGCAAATAAATGGTGTTGTATGTACACAGAAATTTCTTTACAGAACTTCGGAATCCAGAAATTCAGGATTATCGTTCATTAATCTCCTCTGAAACAGTCTTTCTGCGTATTCCACATGATCAGTTTTGTGCTGTATTTGGCTGATCCAATCCGTCAAATATTCTGGCAGAAGCTGTTTCTTGTGCAAAAGGAGTTTGATTTGAGCCATGGCGGCAGAGTTCTTCACAAATTCATTTGCTGAAAACAAATTCGATTTTAATAACTATATGACCTAGAAATAATAGCCAATTTGAATAATCAATCAAAGAAAAAAAAAAAGGTGGGAGCTGTTTTGCATTGATCACCGTCATTAACTAAAAAATAATGAGGAATATAACAACACAACATCAATAAAAGATTGAAAAAGATCAAATTGTTATAAGCTTTCAGTATAAGAAAGCTATGATGGTTTAAGATACTTTTTCAAAAATGTATTGAATAAGGAATTAAAACTGCATATACAGAAAGAATTTTTGTAGACTGTACACATGCTTTTGTATGTTTATTAATAATAACTAAAACAACAAATATTCCAACAATATTTTCAGTCTGTTTCACAAGGCTATCTCAATGTTTTTAATTTAACCATAGAAGTGGGATGTAAGTACAGCACACACACTCTGTAGGATAATCATTGTTCCCAGAATGAAACCATGTGACTGGAGGGAAAACTGGTAGGGAAATTTTCTACCTTTCATTTTTCCTTGTTATTTTAATAGAAGAAGAAAAAAAAGTCAATGCAATAATTAAGCAAAACATTTTAAAATATGGTGGTTTCAAGTGCTGTACTTGAAGCAAGGTGGACACCGAAGATAAAATCAGGATTTTACCCTATGACCGCCTTTAGTTACTGAGTCTTTTACTATATAAGATACTATGTTCACAGTTTTATGCTATTAGTTTGAACTAAATTAAATTCATTAATGCATCCGAGAGAAAATATTTTGCCATCCTTTTCTGGAAAAGTAAAGTTAAGTTATAGAAACAAAATATCAATCTACCTTCATCTGATTCATTATTAAAAAATTCTTCAAAAACTTCATGAGGATCTTCTTCATTTGGACAATAATAACAAATATCAGCTGCAAAGATTAAGTTTATGTTAGAAGACTTATAAGGTGCAAACATTACATAACACAATATAATTGAAATAAAAAATAACTACATGTTAAACTGAAAAATCATAATGTGTTATATTATGATTTATATAATGTACTTTCAGTATTGTTAATATAATTGCAATTTGTTTAGTAAAACTAAAAAATTACCATAAATCATTACAGCCCTGATTATAATAAGGTTGTTGTAGAGCTTTAAGTTTATTTGAAGCAAATTAATTCGGGTGTGTGCATCTCATATGTTAGGTGTTACTGTTTCTGAATGGTCAGCGTCGCACATGCCATGCTATGAAGAAAAAAATTGCACCACTGAAATTGAATTTGTCGCTACTTACACATCTCTTTAAATCCCACAATTATTTTTGTATTTCTGAATATTGCTAAGAGATGACTCAACTAGTCCTACTTTTTCACGTTTTTGCAGTGTGATTTCCCCTTTTGAATTTGAATAAAAATCATTTTGTACTTTCTGTTATTTCGCTTTCATTAGTGTTGCTTGTCAAAATAGTTATGATAGTTTTGAGATAAACGTGATTTTTACTCTGTGATGACCCGAGACTGATTGCAAAGATATTTTAACAGTAAAGTTTGGAAAATTATTGGGTCCATTGCAGGGTAAACTGGAGATCAGTGGACGGGACATCACCACCAATATGTTAAGCAAGAGACTGCTTACTCCAAAAAATATTTTGCATTTTCGAATTTAGGATCGAACATATATTAGTTCAGTAACAAAAAAAATTCTGACAGAAGGAGTTAATAAAGACCCAGTACAATGTTGTATTTTTCTTGTTTCAGGTTTTCTTCTTATATTCAGAGACTTACTCTCTACTTAAGATTTGGATAGAAAGTAGTGGCCATTGTTTAAATATCTATTTATGTATGTATCTTGATCTATTACTGAAAGTTCTGTGGCTAAGGAAAGTGAACTGGAACTATAAATGACCAATATTACTGTCACTTATAAACGAAAAGAAAGTGCTGGTCATCGCCTAACTATCTCTTCGTGAATGTCTCTTGGTTTGTCACTCAAAGCCTCCTAGCTAAAGGAAAGTGCACTGGAACTATCAAGGATAACAGTGAGTTCAAACTAAAGTAGTAATTGAAACTTATTTGTTGACTTAACTGAATTGTTGCATGGTTCTCAGTGGTTTAGAAGTCAATAAATATTTTTTTTCTTTTAAAGAGTCTCATTTAAGCCACTCTTGATTTAAAAAAAAAAAAAAAAAAAAAATGAAAANAAAAAAAAAAAAAAAAAAAAGAGTTATTGTGATTGGTTTTGAAATTTTTTCAGCCCTGTTAAAACTTTTCTTGATATATATCATTGTTATGTTTTCATTGATATAGATCAATTGGATACCTGCAAGTGAACGAAGTAATTTGGGTATCTTTAACCTGATTGGTTGCTAAAACAAAGCTTTGTTTACGTTAGCAAATGTTCCTTCCATTTTATTTCGAGTTCAGTTCACTTACCCCTTCAAGTACCAATTCTCTTAAGCGATATGATATATAATTCTTCACAAAGATACTTTTGCAATGATTTCAATTCTTTCTCTATATATTTCTTACTTAACACAAAGACAGGCACGAAGCAATGTAGAACATAAGCAAACTAACTATGCATCGAAGTAGTCAGGTGCATAAAACAAAATTATATCACATGTTACAATAAAATAGACAAATAATAAAGCAAATTCAATGTGTGATACAGCACTGTATTTAATTAACTTGTTGTTAATTAACATTCAAACTTATGTATAGAAATCTAGCTTAACATTGACACACCATTTTGTACATTGACAATCAGCTGGCGTTGACATCATATGTCACATAAGCAAGTACCCAATTGATATATATATACCCGATAATCATTTTAAAATGAATATCATGATATTGAATTTAGATAATAATAAAATATAAATGAATGATATACATGATTAATAATAAATATCATACCATAACTCCCTACAAAAACCTAGTTTTAGACTTGCACATCATTTCACTCCCTTTTCTATCTAGAAAAATCCATTCATAGGCTGGGTCAGCTTTTAATTATCCCACTTCTAATAAGGGAAATATGTCTTCCCACGACGTAAGAAAAAGAAAATCATTCCCAATAACTTTATTTAAACGAAAGAATTCATTTCTCATAGAAAAAAAAGCATACATTTTTACAGATTTTAATGAATTCATCAAATCTATCATTTTTATAAAAACAGTGGAACAAGTAAAGAGAATGTTTACCATAGAGCAGGCAGAAAACATTGAAAGCTTTTTCGTTCAATTCTTGTTCAGAGAATTTCACCAGAAGTGGTATGATGTGCTCATCAATTAGTACCTCTTTTGCCCAATTCCATCCTTCAACAGCAGTGAACACTACTAAAGGTGTGGTCAGAAGGTACTCATTCTCGAAGGACCCTGTCGAAAAATCGACGAAAGTCATCGACATATTATTATTAAAAATGGAGCAGAAGGAAAAGTCAAATGGCATTTTCGTGAGCATTAGGATACAAAGAAATAATATGATCAATATTAATTAGAAAACATTTTTATTTTTACCAAAGGACATTATTGTTATGAATAGTGGTCAAATATTTGTTAGTGACAACTGTTGAAAAAGGGATCAACCAGACAATGAGAACTAATGATTGAATCGTTATTAATCCATCACATTAAAAAAGAGATTACTCAGTGGGGCAATTTGAAATTCATGTGTTATAACATCCTAAAAAAATAGATATTTTAAAAACCGGATGGAAATCGGTTCAACCACTGTGAATAAAATGATTGAAAAGGCATGTGGAATTTATGTAAGAGTGTAAAGCATATTTATTTATTTTTTAAAAAACTTTTTGCCCATAACTTTGACAATTCCATTAGTGAAAGAAAGACATCTAAAAACTAGATCCCCTGATCAGTCTAGATCTGCAAGGTAATATTGCAGCGATTCTGTTTACGCTCTGATTTAGTGAAGGCACAAAAAAACTTGTATTACATCTTTAGGGACTTCTTTTTGTGGTTCTCCATTGACAAAATATTTATGCAGACAGAATTAAACCAAACTTTAAAAAGAAAAGAAAAACTTTTTTTTTTACCTACAATAAAAGTAGAAGAAAAATATTCAGAGTACAAAATTACAGGGCTACGGCTACTTTTTTTTTCATGCTAGTGTTTAATCAGTTCTAATAAAAAATTTTGATTTCAAATTTAACTCGCTCTTTTTTTTCAAATTCCCTTTTTTTATTCACCAATATATGGAGTCATTATATTGATATGTGCATATTATTAGATGGATAATGAGGCAGAGAATTTATTACCAGCTCAATATTATAGATCCTATTTTTTTAATTTGAAAATTTAAAATGTTTTAATACAAGGTTCCCATACTTATATCAAAGCAAAAGTTAAGGACTTTTTTTGAAAAAAATTAAGGACTTTAAAAATAGTCGTTTATCGTAATAAATATATACTATACATGTACCCTCAAGTAACAGTGACAATGATTCACTTAAAAAAAAAAAAAAAAAATTATCNTTAAAATGTTTTAATACAAGGTTCCCATACTTATATCAAAGCAAAAGTTAAGGACTTTAAAAATAGTCGTTTATCGTAATAAATATATACATGTACCCTCAAGTAACAGTGACAATGATTCACTTAAAAAAAATAAAAAATTATATTCCATTTATTGATATAATTGTATCATCTCCTCCATTTATTTCTTTTAGAATGCTCTACTCTTCACATGGGGTTTCAATCCAGGAGAAAGGAAGAGTTTTTTTTTAGTGAAAGAAAAGCAAGCTTCTCTTTGCATGTAGTCCCCTTTATGCTCATGATTCTTTTTATCTCTAAAAAGGCTGTACCCTCTATCCAAGGTCTCACCTCAGTTAGTTTTAAATATTCTTGAAAGACTAAAAAATTGTTGAAATTAACTAGTGATATCAGAAATTAAAGACCTTGAAGCAAAATTAAGTACTTTTTAAAGTCTGGGGAAATGACTGTACTGTTATTTTAGGTGAAAGATTAAAGAAAATTACCTGTGACACACTTAGTCTCTAAAGTCTGAATCAAGAAGGTAACCATCTCATTGATTTGGTAAGGAAACTGTGCTGACAAGAACCGAGACAAGATATTACTGCAGTGCTTCCATTGGGTATCATTCAATGATGCAGGTTTCGTCCGCGTTCCATAAACAATAGCCGAGTGAAATATTATTTCCTCATCTGAAACAAAAGATTAATTAGATATTAAAAAGTACAGCATTTTAAGCTAAATAAACTTTGTAGAAACTGAAAATGGGTGAAAAAAACTTTAGATTAAGAACTAATTGTTTGATTTGCTTATTAAATTTATATATTCAAAGCTTAATATTAAAAATAAATAAAACATTAATTATGCTACTTGGGAAGCTACTATAGAGAAAATAGAAAAAAAAAGGAAACATATTTTTTTTATTGCCCATAATTTTGTTATAGATGAAATGTCTTAGTGAGTTGTAACTTTAATAGTGGCAACTGTTAATTTAGAACTGATACAAAAGCGATACATGCTACTGTGCGGCTTTGAGGAGTACTTCTCTAGACTAAAAGTCTGAGGCTGTCTGCTGCTATGGTAACAAGCGAGAGCATACCTCTAATGGGGGCGAAATGGAGGAAATAAGGTGCTGATTGGTTTACTCGTGCCGACCTATGCCATCATTAAGACAAAACTATTCACCTTACACCCCTATTGAATGTGACTTTTCCTCATCACGACGCAAGGCGGGTGTCTGGAGGGGTTTTGCCTGAAATCTTTTACTGACTTTAAATCTAAATGCCAGTATTGAATTGTAAAAATCATAGGATACTTCAAGCAGCGCCTGTTTTGTTTTTTGATAAAACGGAGCAGTTTATGGACTGAAGAATCTCTGGAACAAATACTACTAAGTGGTTTCCTTATCCTGATAGGAATCAAGTCAAGCCACAAGGGCTTAAAACCAGTTCAGTTGATGATACAGCTACTCTTCTCCTTAGATACCTTTTATCTATTATTTTATACAAATTCTGAAGATTTCTTGATAATCTTTGATGACACTATCTGCTGTACGATCCCAAGCACATCCAATTTTTATTCAACTCTGTTGTTTTTGTTACAAAAACATCATAACAGCACTGCATTAGATCAGGCTAAAGCGAGTTCTTCTCTAACAAGTGTATGATGTTGGAAGGGAGATTTACAGGCAGTAAATAACTAATGTGTGATGATATAAGTGACACTATTCAGTTTGGTTGCGTCTCTACAGCAGTGTTGCCCCTATTTAAGTTCCAGCGTTCACATACACTTTGTCCCAAAGCCACCATAATTTTGTGTAATGTCTGGGCACAAAAGAACTGTTAACAAACATGCATATTAAAATAGAAATCAGTTATTCTACGCATGTACTACAGCACATTATCAATATTTGAAAATAATCACTGTTAGCAGTCACAACATGGTGCTGCCTGAGGAGGAAATTAAAAGACTCCTGTGCAAATATTTCAGTTGGAAATGACTGAAAGGCAGCAGATAGTGTAAACAGGATATTATATGCTGAAAAACTTCCTTACTAATTCTGAAACTTGGTGAGAATAAATTGTTTGGTTTACAAAGCAGCAAACAGTGCAATTCTTTTTCTCCTTAATTGATTTTTCAAATCAAAAGACATTTTTGCAATACCTAGCATACACCAAATTAGTGTGTAGTCTTTAAAACTATTTATATATTATATTTTATTTTTAGCCATAAATGACTTGTAACCACATTTTAAGATTAAACTGCATAAAATTTTTTGAACATTCTCATCACCTTTGTTTTAATCTAAAGCCCTTAAAAATACATACATTTGTAATATGAATGGAATTAAAGTAATAAAATACCTGAAACATTGCCCACTGAGAATAGTTCTTTCCATACACCTGCCACTGAAGCAATGAGATAGGGTGCGAATTTGTGTTGGAGTTTCAACAATTCACTGCACAACATTAACGGACGATTCTTGTCATCCAGGCACCTGCATATTTCTGTCAGAACCCTACATAATGAGCTTAGTCCATAAATTTGCAATGATTCTTTAGTGACTATTAGTTCATATGCAGTGTTTACGACGGATAGTAAGAGGCCACGCAGATGTGATTTCTTTTTCTTGCTTACCTGAAACAATGCCTGAACTAGACATTTTTCCGGCAGAGGGATCAAAATGCTTTCATCTTCTGACATGAAATAGTGGAGCAGAGGATTAGCCCTGGACCCAACAACATAACTCAAAACTTGATATACTGCGTCTTTCGATCCCGTGGCATTATTAGGATTGATAATAGCATTCACTAAAGTATGTTGATTTTGTTTAAAGTGCATGCCAGTAAATTTCATTTCGTTGAGAGACCTAAAAGCAGCAACAATGGTCGTAGCAATATCAACTATTTCAGAAGTTTGCTTCATTTTCCTGGGACATTTCTTTACCTGTTTCTTCTGAAGAGGTTTCTTCTTTTTAGGTTTTTTCTTTCTTTTTGCTTCTGTTTTAATTGGAGAGTTCTCAGTACTGTCAGAAACAGAAACATTTTGTTCTACATCTTCAGCTATCACCAAACTGTGATCGCTTTCGAGACCATCGTTGCCGTTTAGACAATTCGGCACTGTGTGACCGTTGGTCACAATAGTTAGAACCGCACCAGAGGTTTGGGCACTCGATTGACTCACGGCAACTCTATCATTATCAATTATAACATTATTATAGTCATTATTAAAGGTCTCTTTTGATGGACTTTCAAGGCAAGATGATGCAAGCTCATTACTAGCTTGTAAAGCATCGGCTTGTCGTGAAACTGAATCATTCTTAGCTTCGCCAACGTAGTTTTGAGTGTCCTCTAGACGAGACAAGTTGTTTTCGAATAAACCTCTTGAAACAAATGTACTAGGATTAAAAGGACTGACCTGTATGTCAGAGAAATCTATGTCATTATTGAGTTTATTATCAGTTTGTGTATTAAGCAAGTTAGCAACATCACACAATGGATCATCGTTTGATGATTTTTCTACCTCACTCGAAACCGAAATCCTTGTTTCCTCGGAATTTTTATTCACGACACATGGCACTTTAAAAAGGTGAGAAGTCTCACCTTCATGCGTTGCTACGTTCAACTCAGTTTGAATATTTGATGAAAAGCTGTCTTGGAGTGAGCTTGGTGAATTATTTTCTGGAGCGGAGTTGCAAGTTTGCATTTCACTGCGCTCCACCTTTTTTGATTCATCCTCATTATTACTATCAGGGCACTTATTCTTCTCCTCAACCACTACATTGTTTTTTTCCCTTTCAAAATCAGAAATTTTCCTTTTTTTCATAACTTTTCTATTTTTATTATTATCTTTTGCAGTAGAAAGATGAAACAAATCCTCTGCATTCTTGATTTTCCTTGGCCGTTTCTTGCGTCTATTGGGGGCTTTATCGTCATTTGAAGAAATTTTATCACAAACAGCAGTTGATGGTTGCTCGAGACCATCCATTTCCATAGACCCCTCATCGCATGCCATATTAGAAGAAATAACTTTTAACTGACGAGGCGAAACTCTGACAGACGGAATAGTGACACGTTTCTCGGTGGGTGAAACAAATGCTGAATAAATTTTTCCACTGCGGCCAATATCATTGAGCGTTTTCTTCTCGTGGCACAAATTGTTTTTACTGAAAGGCACCCTCTCATCTTGAGAGAAGCTATTTTGCTGTAAATTAAGATTTCCTTTTTCATTCTGAGAAGAACTGTTAACAGGCTTCTGTACTTTCTTATCAAGTTTTATTTTCTTCGGAATTCTCAGGCTTTCACTGTTCACAAAGTCTGTTCCGATTTTCTTTATTCCTACAGCACAATTTGTGGCAGTTACAGTTTCTAAACTATTCGATTCGGGGGTGAGTTGGCTGGATAAACTCTCTGCCATTTGGGGTGTTGTGGATGAAATAGGATGAGACGATGCAGGAGACAGTGAATTATTCCTTGAGCAATCTGTTTGAATCTGTGCACTAGGCATAACAGTACAAGACACTTTTCGAGTGTTCATATCAAATGACAAATGTGTGTCATAATTAGCACTAAAGTCCAATTTCAGAGAACCGTCATGATTAAGCTTAGATGATATCATGTAAGGACTGGGGCTCGGTGATGATGTTGAGAATAGACTCGGGTTCGGCAAAGAAGGCGTGGCACATGCACGACTCATCAAAGGTGGCTTTTCCACCGGTTCAACATTCTGAACTTCAAAGCTTTCTGACTGCTGATGAAAGAAATTTAGTTTTTTCCCTGCAAATACTGATGACTTTGTTGGTTCAGATTTAAGAAGTTTTGCATTTTTAGGGGGTGGTGTGGGTGGGAGAGGAGAAATAGGATCATTACGCACAGAAAGTTGTTGCCTGAAGCTGTTAAGTTCATTATAATCTTCGGAGACGAGGTCTTCGATAACGTCTTTGTGTGTTTTCATGAAATAATTCGAGCCATACGATCTCATATTAGAAGTAACACAGTTTTCTGGATACGATTTCATGTTGGAAGTAACACAGTTTTCTGCAGAAGTATGGACAACTGTTGAGTAGTGACTTTGTTGTCTCTCAGTACTACTTCCAGGAGAACTAACCTGGTCTGAAGAATTGGGATTTCTTTTGACACTATGAGAACCATTTGAGGACTCCACTGTTTCAGTTTTCAATCCACACAAGGACACTTTTATATTTTCACCTGTAAATAAAATGCAAACCTTCAAATACACATATTATAAATTTACTTGTTAATTTTAATGAAAAAGATATAATAAAGTTTCTTTAGGGATTATTAGTAATCATCTAACACAATTACTATGTTGAAACCTCAAAGTAAAGATGAAAATAAACTGTGGGAGAAGGTGCATAGACAAATATTTCAACAAAAAATAAGCACTTTTTAAGCAAATATTTTTGAGAACTATTATACATTAACAAAAAGCAAAATAGTTTTTAAAGACTTTACACAATCATGATAAAACAGCTAGTTTCTGTTAAAGAAATCTCTTCTAGATAATATTAGCCACCATAAAAAGGTCGAGAAATTTTGGGGTTAGATTTCAGAGGGTGGAAAATGAAGCCTGATATTGAGAATATATTGCAAAATACAGCGGAATTGCACATGAGAGTGCTAGAATCTCACCCGAACAAAGCTCAGTATAAGCAGATGCGAACCCGCAAGTATTTTATCAAACATGTAAAATGATTGGAGCTTTCATACGTTATAAACAGTCAGTACGCCAAACTGCATTCTGTTTGAATGAATTGTGAAAACTTTGAAAGAACAATGGGAAAACCACGCTTTTGCTTTTTACATGATGAGCATCTTTAAGGGCTTTTAAAAAATGAGAATCGAAAATAAACACCTTTAAGCACACACTTTTTAAAAACGAATTTCATCTCCAAAATTCGAATCAATTGAATCTCCAAAATTTCATCATTACTCTTAGTCTTTCTATCTTTTGTAGCAATCCATTTTCATAAGACATGATAATTTAAAGAATTAACAATGCTGGTAAAAAAATGTTTGCAAGAATGTAACAATAATACAAGATGCTCTCCCATTCAAACAAAGAATACGTTGACAAATTCCCCTCCCGCGAATAGTCTCTTACAAAACAAGGATCAACGAAGTATGATTCCTTCTCCCCCTTCCTTCTGTTGCAGGTGTGAAGAAAAAAAAGGGGGGGAAAATATCAAATTCATTCTCCACAACGAATGAGTGAGTAAAACACTATCTTGTAGGCCAAGTTTATCCCCACTTTCAGCTGAAGGTTAACTTTATAATCTTTACTCTTGGAAATATACGATTTTCGACATTTAGAGATGTTCGGGTAAATTAATGCAACTTGATGAGCAGGTATATAAGAGGAATGTGTGAACTGCTATATTTAGGGGAGAGTCGGATAGCCCCGCCCACTTAAGGAATATTGCTTATATTTCTGTATAATATTAAGTAATAATCAATATTTTTGTATGTTCCTATTGTTTTATCATATAATTAAATAATGTAAAAAGAATAAACCAAAAAAAGAATAGTTTAACTTAAAAAAATAATTTTCTTAATTTCATGACTACTGTATTCAACATACTTTCAAAACTATTGTTTACCATGTTACCAGCAGCATAAATACTTGAAACTTTGAAAGTAATCTTTTTTTAATATAACAATTAATGTCCGATGGCCCATTGACTTGAAAAAATATTCTATACATTTGGAATTGACAGTGGGTGGGGGTACCCGACACTCCCCTAACATTTATTTTAATAAATTTTAGCTGTTAAATTATTTGATTTATTTATAGCTTGGGTGATATAAATTAATTATAAGAGAAATAATGCGTTTGCGATCATTTTATGCTTTAATTTTGCACAAAACAATATTTTTGTGCATTTTTTATTTCTATTTCTTAAAATTTATTTTAAAAAATCTTAGCTGTTTATCATTCGTCGATAGGTTAAAATTTCAGAAATTGAAAATTATTGAAAAAGAAACGGGATGCATTCGTGATTGCTTTGTGTAGCACAATTTTCAACAAATCATCATTTATTTTATTTTATTATTATTAATATTGTAATAATTATTAATATTATAAGGATTTTTAGCTGTTTGATTATTTGCTTTAATAAATTAAGTATTTCAAATCAAATTAAGATAAAGGAACATGATGAGATCGTGACTGTTCTTCATTATCATCATAGTTTGCCAGACAGCCCAATGTGGACCAATACCTTCTTCTGAAGATATCTCCGTAATGACTTCTGATTTATCTTTGATCTCCAATTCTTTTCATCAATTGCAAGAAAATCATACTTCACCGAGTCAGCCCATCTCGACCTCAGCTTTCCCTGCTTTCTTGTCCCAATGGGTTTAAAAAGTAGCATTTTTTTCTTGTAATGTCATCACTCATACGAATTACGTGGGCCATCCAATTCATTCTATTTATTTTTATGTATTTAATAACATCAGGTTGTTTATAAATCTTGCATAGTTCAAAGTTAAATCTCCTTCTCCAGTTATTGTTTTCATTTACACCACCAAGTAAATTCCGCAAAATTTTTCTCTCAAATATTGAGATACAATTTTCCTCTAGTTTTGTCATTGTCCAAGCCTCAGAAGCATATATCAAGACTAGCCTGACAGGAGTTTTGTAGATTAAGAACTTTGTTTTCAAGATTTTTCTTAATGGTACTATTTTGCTCTTAGTAAGATTCTTTTAATCAATTTATTGTATTTTAAATATATTAAAGTTCTCAATCAGTTGGTTTACATAAAATTCGAGACTTTAAATCAGTATTTATTAACATAATGCGTTTGTGATTGTGTTGTGTTTGAATTGTGCACAATAGTACACTGTATAATTTTGTATACATTTGAGAAGTTATGAGAAAAAATTGTTGAAATACATAATATCTGATTTTAAGAAAGATGGCATATATTAATTTATTGAATAATTATTTAAATGATTTTTAAACATTTAACCATTTATCTTATATATAAAACTTGTTATTTGTAACAGATGCGTTACTCCGCAATCAAAAGCACAGTAAAATTTTGAGGGGCGCATCCAATGATGCAGCCTTTCCAATGAAAAACATTTCCTTTTTGGTCAGATTTTGCAGATGTGGCAAATCTCAGTGAAATCACAGAAATTAAAAAAATAATAATAATAAAAGATTCAGAATATCCAAATGCAAACAATTTTCTTTCTATGTCTTAACTGAAAGTGCATAATTAGTAGTACAAAATTTCACACTTATAAAAAAAATTAGGAAAATATAATAATCAAATTTAGGTTAAAAAATTAGTTTTTGTAATTTTATTATTATGCAATAAGTAACTTTCTTTAACAAAAACTATTTTCAAGAAGTCAGCAATATCTAGTACAGTTAAAAACTATATAAATGTGTCTTTATTTACAGATTAAACACATACAGATACTTTGTTAAAAATTATTATGCAAATACAATTATTTAATAATATTTATCATGCATACCTTCAGAGCCTAATTCAGAAGTGGATATCTGATCATCTATTTCTTTTAAAAACTGTTCTTTCTTTTTTACAGTCAATAGACCTAGAATCGAAGAAAGTATTTAAAGAAAGAAGTCAAAGTTATCTATGAAGTATAGTTGAAATGTGCTTTTAATGTTATTTCAAATTACATAAAATTTAATGAACAACAGAGTTAAAAATGAAAACAGTCTAGCCAAAGTTTTTTAAATTTTTATTTTATTTTTATATCTTATTAATCACTTTTAACTGAGGTTTGCGAAAACCCACATTTTCAAGAAATAACCCAACCTACAAGGATTTTTTTAATGAAAAAACAAAATTTTGCTCACGGATAAGTGGTTTTTTTTTATGTAGGGTCCTACATGTACAGTATACTAAATATAAACATAAGATATGTTGAAAAAAAAATATTGTTCAATTATTACCAAAAGGATTTATAAAAGAAATGATAATAAAAATAACTATTCTAAGTCATTTTTTCCACTTTAAAAATGCATAATTACATGAAGTTACTGAAATGATTCCATGTTAAATGTAAAACAAAATGTTATGTGATTAGATTTATATTATAAATAAATACATAATTTGCTTTAAAGTTAATGGAATTTCTAAAGGTATCGGATAGATTCCTGAACTGAAATGCATATATCTTTTTGTAGCAAATGCTATGTTCATTTGCATTTTTTAATGTATGAATTCCTTATATGACCTACAATGCACAATAAATTATCTATTTTTATCTTCATTACACTTTTTGCTTCTGAAATTAATATAATAAATTTTTTGCTTCTGAAATTAATATAATAAATTATTGAAATTTATTATCTTTTTAAAAAAAAGATAATAAATTTCAACCATTTCTTTTCTAATCATTCCAAGCATAGAATTTACGATTATAATAAACATGCCGAAATGCTCATCAAATTGACTTAATAATTATGTTGAACTTTTATTGCGTTAGATCGTAATCTTGGCTACAAAACTGAATTGATTACAGATAAACCGTAATAGTCGGCACTTCTGCAACAGTAAGAATGTGTAACAGAAATGAATAAAGCACGTAAATAAAATTTGGAAAAAAAGAAGAAAAAAAGTCATTATCCAGACTTAGATAAAATTACACTTTTCATAACATTCATAATAACACTCACCATTCTTTGAGAGAGTTTCTCCCAATTCCAAGATCAAATGCTGAAATGAAAAATAAACTTTTAATCAACATTTACAAAATAAATATAGTGAAACCTGTCAAAAAGTTGACTTCTATTATCAAAACTGAATTTATGCTATAGAATAAAAGAGTGCAAAACCTTTTCAACCAGACTGCTAAAATAAGTCAAGTTTGTCTAGAACTGTTATTGCATGCTATTCTAAATCCTCCATTATAAATTGACCAAGTGATTTAATGTTATATATTAGAACTTCATTAAATGCTAACTTCATTAAGCTTTTTGAGAATTGACCATAGGTTAGTTCTGTAATATCAAACTTTTGGATCCTGCTCTATGCTGTTTTGATGATGTTGCTAGAAAACAGACTGAAAAGCTGTTCATCCAGCTTTCACCTTAAGAGAAGAGTGCAGATAATCCATTATTTTTTCTCTTTTTGTTATAAACGATTTTGTGTAGAATTCAAATTTTTTTGCCAATTTTTCATGAATGCATCCTTAGAAGCATCTTGCAGGTCATCAGAAAAAAAAAGAAAGAAAAAAAAGATTTTCTAACCAATTATTTAAATATTTGGATTATTCCAAGATTCAAAAGTTAAAGCTTGCTGGCAAAAATTCCACTCACAAATTTCGCAATTTAAGCTTCTATCAGGGTGCATTGTCAAAATTTTGAACAAAAAATAAGCACCTCTTAAGTTTTCAAAAAATATCATTAAACTCCTTATTCTTTAAAAAAATATAAGGAGATATTCCGTATCATCAAATACAATCGCCAAAGTGTCAAATAGATTTTAAACTTGCAAATATTTAAAAGAAAAAGCATGTCAATGTTAGTCTGGAGGTGGCTACGTATCAAGTTAGCCCGTTTCAGTGATGGTTTTTAATCTGCCAGAGATCACAATACGGAAATCTATCCAAATATAATTAAGATATGCGCACTAATAAAAAAAAATAGAATAGTGTGAAAACAATGCATTTGGCATAATTCGTGACAAAAATGGACACAATAAAAAAATATCTAATTTTGGAAAGGGGAACATTAAGGACTTTTTAAAAACATAGCAAAAAAGCAATTATAATATTTATAGCATAAAAGAAAGAGCTTGGAACAGCTGCGTGATGCCATAATAAGCATTACATATTTCCTAGCTTTTAAAATTTCTTTAATTTCATAAATTTTTTTTTTTCAATCATTCTCAATCAAATTAAATCAATTACTTAATTTTTATTACATTTTATAAGAAGGTAGTATAAATATTTCCTTCTTTTCTTAATAATCAATCTAATTTTATACTTCAATACATATGTATAACTCTTTAATCCACTGTCACAACTAAACTGAAAACAAAATCTATTTATAACTCTTTATTTCTTGCCACAAAAATGTTTCAGTTACATGGTTATACTAATTTTTACAAACTTTTTGTTAGACAAATAGAGGCTAAAAAGTATGAGGTTCGATTTTCGGTCGTCGATCTCATGCATTCAACTTGCCTCAGCGATGTCATGGTCTGCGGGGATCGGCCAGTTTATTTTCATTTGCTGTTGGTCGTTCTTGCGTGGATCATGATGTCACCCGTTATCTGTATTTAAGCTTCGGTTGAAACAGATCATTTGGGTATTCTTTCTTTTCTTTTCATCACTCTGTTTGTGACATTTTTTATTACTAATGTTTTTAAATAAACTCATTTCTTCAGAAACTTCGTTTCTCTTTCTTTTGAGTTGTTGACATACAGATATGATATTCTGAGAGAATCTCAGATGTCACTTTCAACGATAAGCTATAACCAATTGATTTTCAAATTTAATATTGTTTATGGGAGGTTGGCTTTGTTATCTTTCAATAAATCGCCAAAAATGTATCTCTTCCTGTGCTCCTAACTGTCTGTTGGGAACAATGCACTTGCTTTTAATTTTGAATTATTAGGGGATCAGACTAGGGGGTTGCAGTCTCTCAGTCCTAACCATTGAATTTATATTCTCTTTTAATTCTCTTGATCCCTTTGAGGGTAATAATTTTTTTATTTCATTATTTCTAAGTAACGCCATATTTTCTAAATAATAAATTAATTTTTCCACTAATGAATTTGTTTATTTTTCTTGGATAAATATCCCTCTTTCATAACAAAATTCTGATATATCTCACATAGCCAAAAATTATGCTTAAATTCTACAAAGTGACTACATCCACTATACGTAAAGAATTAGGACTAAACTGCCATGAAAAGCTGAGAAGTCTTTCCTTTTTAGAAAAAAAATGAACTAAAAAAAAAGTTTGTGTGGGCTTTGCAGAGAAAAAATTAGTTTGATCTGTTAAAAAAACGCATAAAGCGGGATTTTCTTAAAAAGTGGATCTTAAATTCTGTGATATTTTAACAACGGCAATTTTATGCACATTCAGAAAATGACTTAGGAAGCCAGATAACGTAGAAAAAGGACAATATGAAACCCCGATTCCATTGTATCATGTTGCAAATATATTCATAAACAATGTAATACAAATTTAAAAAAATAATAAAAATTTTACCCAAAGTTTTTTATTAGCAGACTTTATTTTCCTCGCATGACCATTCTTTTCTAAAATTTTCTGACTTGCTGATTCAAACTCAACTGAAACAAAAATCAAATATAAAATGGTACAGCTAAAAATTTTAAGTTACTTTTACCAATGTTCTTTTTAGTAAAATATTTAATGAATTATATCATATTAAACACTTGTATCAGCAAAGAATATGCATTATACTTCAGAAAAAGTCAATAGAAATATTTTGTAAAAATAAAGCTTAGTTTTTATGATGTGATGACTAATTGCAAAAATTAATAGCCTGTAAAAGTTTCATTTTTATGAAAAGCTTAAGTATTTTCAAAGTCTAAAATAAATATGTAATCAGATTCTTTCTGTCCTGTTGATGAAAAAAAAGTTTATATACTTGATTTAAGCATAGCAGTTTTACTATTATGAATTAATCAGCATCAGAGTATGAAAGTTGAAGAAATTCTTAAGCCAGAAATTATATAAAATATAATTATACAAAGATTATTTTTAAAAAAATAATTTAATAGAGCTTACCTACACTTATGTTATTTCTCTTAACTCCTTCAGTTTTTAAAATAAAATGATTTAATAAAAAATATTCTGATAAAAATGAAATAATAAAAAAAAAAATCTAATACAATAATAAAAGCAACATCTTAAGTTACATAACTCAATATAATAATAACTCAAGTCACGAAAGTTTAAGAAAAAATCAAAAAAATTTTAATTTCATTTTGTTACAGTTTTTTAAAAGGATAGACATTTGACCTAAGATAGAAAACTTTCACCTCTAGATATTAACTATGCTTTCAAAAGAACTTTGTCAAGAATCAGAAATATTTTTAAAATTATTAAGCAAGATCTGCTTCTAAGACAAAATTATACATACATTGCGTATAAATTTAAACATGTGTTGGGAACAACTAAAGCAAAGAAAACTTGAACAATATGTTAAGTCAACCAAATCAAGAAAAATAAAGAAGGTGAAAATAAGAACAGTACAAAATTTGATGTTGAAAGGAAACAAAAAGACTCATTTTTTTCTTATTTACTCAATATTTTTTATATACTCCAGGGATGAGACTGACTAAAAGGCAAAAAAGCTGAATTTCCACGCGAGCAAATCTTATGTGTAAGCAATCGTTTAATAATGAATTCCGGACAATTTAAGATAATAAATAACTATGTGTTGACATAAAATTGTGTACTAATTTATTAATATATGAATAATTACATCAACACTTAAAATTTAGTAAAAAGTAAAATTACCAATTGAAAAAATAAAGTTAGAAATTATATTTTCTTCAGTTCACATAAAGGAGACAATTATTACTTGAAAATCTGCCTAGTTTAGTACATTAAACTACTGAGAATATACATTTACATTCCCTTTCTTTTAATAAATACTATTACGTGATTTACAGCGATCTTGGATTCTGAAATCGCGTGAATATGAATCGCGATAATAGATTTCGAAATCACGTAAATATGGAACTCGATACTGGATTTCTAAAATCCAAAAATACAAATCATGCTGTGTAACTTTTAGATCGCGTAAATACGAATCACGATGCATAGTTTTTAAACATCATACAAATACGAAAATCAATGTTTGATATTACAACTGCAGAAATGAATCACAACATTGAATTTTAAACTCGTGTGAATACGAATCGCTACATAGGATTTTAAAAACATGTAAATACGAATCGCGATATAGAATTTTGAAATCTCGTAAATAAGAATATCAATGTGCGATATTTAATTTGCGTGAATAATTAGGTAAATACGAGAATCGATGTTTGATATTAAAATCACGTGAATAAGAATCAAGATATTAGCAGATTCCGGGCTTTGGATTTATCTGAAGTTTGTTTATACTGTTTTTGTTTAGCCATAATTAATAAAAAATTACAAGATTAATTGAGTGGGCAAATAAATATTTTCACTACAAATAAACCGTTTCTTTTCCTTCTTATTCTTACACACGCCACTTTTTTTCAACGTAGAAGCAGCGACGTCTGAATTACGAAAATACTAGCAATCTGGCGGGCGGGTAAAAATGCAAAAAATCTTATAAGATATTTTCTGCGCATAAAAGCGGAGAAAATAGTTAAAATAAGTAAAAATGTGGTAGGGTTGGAAACTATGTAGTTTAAGTTTTCTGTTTAGATTTGAAAAAGGAAATAAATGTAATTATTTTATTTCAAGGGCTGAATTTGTAGAAAAATCTCAATATTTATAATTTAAAAAAAAGTGAAACTTTTAGAGAATTGGTGCTTTTAATAAAAAACAAAACATTGAAATTCTAGAGATTAAAGTGAAAAAGGCAGAAATCTGCTAAAAAGCGGAAAAATCTTATCCGTGTTACTCAAGCAATTGATTTGATATAGGATTTCAAATTTTTTACCTCTAATTATATTCAAAATTTGAATATTCAATAAGCAGATTCATATACTAGCAAGTATCAAGAATTAGAAAAGAAATCTAAACAAACATACATACTTTTCAATTTTCGGTGAGCTTTTTCTTTTGATAATCTGTAAGTAAAAACGAATATTAATAAAAGGTGTAAAATATTTATTCGAAATAGACTTATAATTCACGGTAAACTAATTGTTTTTATTACAAACTTAATTACAGATTGACATTTGACAGTTTTTCTTAAAAAAATATTTTGTACAACAGGAAGCTTTGCCAAATCCATCAGTCAAAGGAGCCATTCATATATTACTTAAGAACCCAAGGGAATTTTAACCCAAGGGGGCAAAGGGATTTGGCCAATAGATTATTCTAGAGTCACGATGGCTCAGGGGATAGAGAGCTTTCCTTCCAATGTGGTGAACCAGGGTGCGATATAAGTGATGGCTGGTCAATACGAATTCCGCACCCGGCTTGCACCGACCACTTTGGTGACGTGAAATATCCTCAGTGGTAGACGGATCATAGGTTAGAGTCCTCTTGCCGTCATGCTAACCGTGGGAGGTTCTCGTGTTCTTCCTCTCCATGTAATGCAAATGCGGGTTAGTTCCATCAAAAAATCCTCCACGAAGGCAAATCTCTCCCAATACTTGATCCAGGAGTCCCGTCATCTGGACTGGGTTCTAAATTACAAGGCTAAGGAGTTGAACATTAGTAGTGGTAAACCCAAAAATTGGGAAAGCTGTTCCACGACGGTTATAAAATAATAAAATAAAATAGACTATTCTAGAGCCGTGGTGTAAGGGATAGAGCGCTCACTTACTAATGAGGTGAAGCGGGTTTGAATCCCAGCAATGGCTGATAGATACAAATTCTGCATCTGGCTAGCAATGAAAACAGTGCTGAGATAAAATGTCCTCAGTGGTAGACAGATCACAGGTTAGGGTGTCCTTGCCATCAGACTAACCTTGGGGTTTTTCCTCCCATGTAACCCAAATGCGGGTTAGTTCCATCAAAAAATCCCACTAAGAAGGCAAAGTTTCTCTCAATACTTTATCCAGGAGTGTTATAAAATAGACTATTCTAAATCTGTGAAAAAAGTCTTTTTTTTGCAACCTGTTGCAACATGTGGTATAGATAAATGCCTTGCAGAATTTTAAACACCTTAAAAATTACCAAGTGTGACCACAACACTACACTAAAGGTTAAAAATATATTATATTTTTGCAAACTTTTCTCAAATATTAGAAAATTTCGGCAAATTATAAGATATTATACTTCAATAATTCCTACCAATAGGAATTATATAGAGTATAATTATTCATAAAATTTTATTTCTTTTTGAGTTACTTAAAGTTTTTTTGTAGAGTAAGTATCAGTCTTTAATGACACTCCACTATTACCAAAATAAATTTGCATTTACTTTTCATTAAGTGTGTTGTATATTAAAATCAGTAGCTAATTTCACATTGGGTTCAGCACAGTTATACTACTTTTAATGTGCACATAGTTACACATCAAATTGTTTAATTTTTAATTAGCATTTCTTTGTTCAATTGTTTAATTAATATTCCATGTAGTTTAAAATATCATGAAAAGAGCATTTAAGTATTTATACATAAATAATATAACATGAATGAAATAATTATATGTACAAATAATGGTTTAAAACTGCTGAAATTTTAAACAAATATACTTAATTTATTGTACTTGACAGATTTAGTTAATACTGAATTTTTACTTCCAAATATCATGTACTAGTTTAAAAATAAAGTTTTATTCAAGTCAATACTACATAATGCACATTGTGTATTATGTAGTATGCACCCTAAACAAATTTTGATCTAACATTTGTATTATCCTATTCTAGGATTCAATCTTAATGGCTCCAAAATAAGCTAATTAATTTGTGATGATGATATAAATTATGAAATCAGATGAGAAACATAATTTTTCAGAATACCTAAGTTTCGAGAGATTTGGATTGCTGACACTAAAAATAGCGGAAAGGGGGATAGCTATTACCTGGAGAATATATTCCCAACATTTTAGCTAAGAGAGCAAACATAAGTCACTTTACTCTTAATTGAATTTTTTGTTTTGTTCATTTCTCTAAATCTTAAGCTTTTAAGCAAATCGAACAATTTTTGTACACAATTACAAAATTCATTTGTCAAAAAATAATTCTATTTAAAACAAATCTTTAATAAATATTTTATAAGGCTTAAAATCGTATCCAAATTTAAAAATCCATAAAAATCATTGTCTATAGTTAAATTTCAACTTGAATTTAATAAAAATATGCATTTAACAGTACTAGCACTAAAAGTTTTTTTCATTATGAGAACATTTTTGACTGGGTCATACAGAAAAAAATATTTCATAAAAAAAGTAAACGTCTGTTAGAATAAATTTAAAATCGTGTTTAATATAACAGTTTGAATTTCAACTTCCTGTAAAGTTTAAAGAGGGAGAGCCTCGTCGTTTCATTTTAAAAAACTCAGCTAAAAAAAGGGTGATATAAATGGCTTAAGCGAGCGATACGGATTACCACAGCACACTATCTGACAGGGTTTTCATGGTAGCAGTGCTTTTCTTCCACCTCAATTAAGGAATGCTTCTTTTACCTCATGGTGCCTTGAGATACTGGCATGCTCTCAGCTAGGCATGAGGAGGAAAAGTGTTCTTCATACAAACCGGGTGAGCAGCGAATTCTTCTATTGCATCATAATAACAATCCACAGGAGTGTCCCATTGCAAGTGGAAATGCGTAATTAACCAAGGATTTATTGTTTTTTTTTTAATGGGGATAAATTTTTTTTTTTTAAGAGGCAAGGATAAGAATTTTAGAACTTGCATTTTAAAAATCATTTTGTGAAACAACCATTTTTCCCTAAGTTAAATTTGTGAAGGTACAGCTAAACAATAGTATATTTGCCCTGGACAGACCCCTGTTGAGGGTAACTAAATTTGGACTGTCAAAATTTCAGATTGAGCACCAATATCAATAAACATAAAAAGAGCTTGGATTGAAAATCCCAATCTTTCAATCCTTCATATTGATTATTTTAAAATCACAATTGCATTTGTAAAAATAAAAATAAAAATTAAAAAAAAAAAGATGTTCTTATAACACACAAAGATCAAGAATATCAACAAAAATCTATAAAATTGGACAAAATATTTTTCTCAGGAAAATCAGGAAAACTACGAACCCTATATTGACAACACCTATGTTGTAAATGCAGCCTAAAACTATTACTCCTCGAATGCAGCCATAATAATTAAGAAGAAAAAATAAACTTACATATCTTTCCGTAATTCTTGTATTGCCTGATTAGCTTCATCATGTTTTTCTCTTGCTTCCAACAGCTGATTTAAACTAGCCTATAATAATAAATAATATCATTATTATTCCTTACAAAAGTAATGATTGATTACATCAGGATGATAAAATACTTGATAAGTAATAATCAATGTATACCTTTGATGGCAAATTCTTTTTTTCCAACATTTAAAATTTAAAGTTCAGAGAAAAGTGAATTCAGGTAAACTAGAATAACGCCTGCATAGCTGCCAACATGCATAGGAAAAAAATCCAGTAAATTTTAAGTAATAATATGAATTTCATTATGATTGTTGTATATTGTACTAAATGTTTTACACATAGGGAATTTTAGAGTCATCAAAATAAAAAAACTGCAATATTTTCCAGTTCTGATTGACCTGAATATGCCTGAAATGCTATATATTATTTTACTCATAATTTTGAATAGTAATAGTTATTTAATTCATCAAAAATAGTTAAAAGAATTTTTTTAATTAATTTAAAAAGGGAGTTCTGAATAAAAATAAACTGAACATTTCAGGAAAGAAAAAAAAAAGAAAAAACAGTTTTAAACTGATTTCTATAAATGAGACTCGCTTCATTATATATTAGTAATACTTATTTAAACATTCAAGCAAGTAATAATCTGAGCAAAATTTTTATTTCAATAAGGATTTTTTAGGAAACTTACTCAATTTTAGTGAATCTTCAGAAGTCTACAAAAACCATGAGAATTTTTATTAAACAAGTAGACCAGGAGAAACTGGCAAAATCCAGTAGTCTAAAGGAAAATCCAGTAGAGTTGGCAGCTATGTAGGTACATTTAATTTTACAAGTACTTTTATTTTCACCTGACTGCTCTAATTCAGTTTTTTCTTAATGCACAGGACTGGCCTGATTTTCCCTTTGAAACTCTCTAGTGGAGAACTTCAAATATTTATTATCTATTTTAAGTTTTGTTCAAGAGTGAGCCGTCAAAATAATCTCCCTTTTATTGAATGATTCAAAATGCAATGACATTTTCTTCCTTCCCTTCAACAGTCTTTGGCTGGTTAAACCACGTGGTCTTTCAAATGTCACCTCCAACCGTCTTGTCGGGGTCATAATTTAGCTAGGCATCTCCCAGGTTTTTTTAAAAAATCTCCAGACTTTAGAGATAGGGTTGGACACATGGGATTTCTGATATTTTTTCTTATTTTAACCTTTTGCACACGGCAGATACAATACCATGCTAACCTGGCCTTCACCTTACTAAGCACCATCAGAAAAACGTTAATGACTTTTAATGATATGTGGATGATGTTGAAACCATTGAGATCTCAAGGAAATTTTATTATAAGTTAATATTGTGACTTTGTAATAATTGTTTTTCGTTTTTTTTTCAATTTATCAGCTTCCACAATCTTTTATGGTTCAGAACACCAAAAAGTTTTTTATACTACATCTGTTAACATTCTAAAAATTGTTCATATTTTTCATGAAAATAGCAGAGAGCAAAAATTTTAATCTGTGCAGTTTTTTTAGAACAGAAATTTCAAACTCTGATCCATGCAATACCAAATGTGACTTCATGTATAGGTCTTTATAATAGAAGAGGTGTATAAAAGAGCTAAAAAAGGGTCACACCGTATCATCTTCAGAGCTTCTCGAGCCATGGTACAACCAATTTAATTTATAACTATAGGTAACTTGTATCATGAGTGTCATCCTCTCTGTTTGTTGTTCCTTAATTTTCAAAAACTAGGTTTTGAATGAAGCTCTTCTCATCTTTTTTTACTTTTCGCTTTCAAATCATTCACTTTCGAAGCATTCATTTTCAAAACTTGATTTATTCATAAGTATTATACTTACAAATATGATTGATACATGAAAATAACCACAAAATATTCAAATTTCTACACCAAGTGGCGTGGCAGCACTAGTTCAGTATTTTTCAGTTATTCCCAACAAGTTCAGTTCAGTCTTTCCTGAAATTCAAAAATTGGCAAAGCAAGAAAAGAGTTTTTGTATCCTAGAATATGCGAAATGTTCGTCTGTTATAGCAGTGCAACATTCTTTCAGAAGGCAGTATGGTAAAGAACCGTCTTGTACACAAAGCTTTTTGAGGTGGTATTGGCAATTCAAGGACAATAGTGGTATATGTAAAAGTAATAGCATCGGTCAACCACAAGTGTTAGACGAAACAGTGGAGAGAGAGTGAGGGAAAGTTTCGTGAGTTATTTTAAAAAAATCAACGAACTGAGCAAGTTGCGAGCTTGGTGTACCTCAACAAACTGTTTGGAAGATTGTAAGTAGCTCTTGCAGAAGATAATGTCCGTCGAGTGGAGTTTTGCATCAGAATAATATAAGCATTACAGGATGACGATTTTACCAACAAGCTGATATTCAGCAATGAAGCGACATTCCATTTAACTAGAAAAGTGAATCATCACAATGTGAGAATCTGGGGTACTGAAAGTCTGTGTGCAATTGTGACCATTGAAAGAGATTCACTAAAGGTCAATGTTTTTTGTGCAATTTCAAAAACAAAGATGCATGAGCCGTTTTTTTTCTTTCTTCTTTTTTCATTGAGAAAACTGTGAATGGTTCAATTTATTTATACATGTAGCAGTTATGGCTGTTTCTACAACTAGGTGACGATTCCACATATTTTGTCTACCAACGATGTTCAACTCTGTAGCGTTGTAATTTTGAACCAATCCAGAAGACAAGAAAACTCCTGGATCAGTACCCCCAGAGGTATGATTTGTTACGGGAACATGGAGGACTTCGAGAATCGACAGATTTAACGTGCATCAGTCACCATTTACTACTAACGTGCATCAGTCACCATTTACTACACGGGGAGTCTTCGGTCGGCGGAGATCAAATCCACGACCTCTTGGACGTGGGCCCACTGCCCTAGTGGTTAACTGAATGATGAACCCCCCGTATAGCTGGATTGTCTGGTTGGTGATAACCATGCTTTTATACCTCCCAGGACACCGGATTTAACGCCATGTGACTTTCTCCTCCTTTGGGAACACATTAAGGACATTAATTATGTACCCTACTCCCAAAAATGATAGAAAAGCTGAAGAAACGGATCAGTGATGCATTAATGAAGCAATCACACAACAAAATATGTGGTATGAATTGAACTACCACCTAAAAGTGCGTCGTGTGATCAAGGGGGAACATTTGTACATTTGTAGAGCGAGCATAAAATTGGAATATTATGTGGTCATTTTCATAGATAAATCATATTCTTAAGTATAACAGTTTTGAATAAATCGAGTTTTGAAAATGAATGATTCATTTGTAGTAACCCTGTATGATGAATGATTCTTTATATAACCATTCATGTACAATATTTTTCGATATGATAAAATGCAAATAAAATTTTAAAATTTCAAAAATGTAGTTACCAAACCATACATACCCTTAATTGAGTTAGCTCTCCATCTTGATCCTCCTTAACCTTGTTTAACTTTTGATATTTTTCTTTCCATGTTTCAAATTCCTAGTTATGGAAAAACAAAATAAAAATAATAAATTTTTCTTTCTGTACTGATACCCCAATACTTGGAATATAACGAATAGTAATTAGGCCAAATATTTAAAATAAAATAATAAAAAAAACAGACTAACGGCTATTAAAAAAAACTAATAAAACTTAACTAGATAATAAAGTTTCGATAAAAAAAAATTAAAAATAACCTTCTTAACCAAAACCCTTCTTAATTCCTAAAACCAAATCTTAAATGCTAAAAATATTTCCCAGAAAAGAAATTATCTATAAAGCATTAATTAAAAGAGGTAATATCTATCAGAAACACTTTTAAAAATACTGCGTTATCATAAAAATACCTAAAAAAAAAAATTAAAAAAAAAAAAGATTATACACAAAAGCAAAGCAGAAAAAATAAAAATTGATCTTAATTTTTGAAAGAAAATTTTAAAGCTAAACTTGTCGATCTACCAAATACTATATTTTCAAGAAAAAATTAAGGTTAAAGTCTAATAGAAACCCTTTTAATTCCTGCATTATAATAAAAACATAAGTTTAAAAAATCAGACACGTAAAATTCAATTTCTCATGAACCAATTTCACAGAGATTTTTCCGAGCTTCAGGCGAAGATCTTATTAACGTTCGGCCACAGAGACATTCTCATTGCTAGAATTGGTGAGCCTGCAGAGGATTTGCAACAATCAATTTACACTACAAACCAAGGAAAAAAGTAGTGACTACAGTAGTTTTGCTACTTGTAGGGTGCTACTTCCGAACACTTTACGATTTTGTGACCATTCGCATGATAAGGAAAACATGGCAAGTACTTTTCACCCCATGTTCTTTGCAATAATCAACTAGTTTAACTCATACACTGCATTGACAATTTTTGTATGACATAAAGCAATAAAGTTAATGCATATATTTATGTGTCGAATACAATATACCTTATAAAATATACTTATTACACGAATTGAATACAATTTTGTATTACTTAAACAATCAGGAAAATAGAGAAAAAAAAAATTAACTTACTTGGGTCATTTTTAAAATATCTTGCATTTTTTCAGACAAGTCAACCTCATATTTTGCAATTTGACTGAAACAAAACAACAAAGTAAATATAAAATTAACACATTCTAACAGAAATAACCATATAAATTATAAATGGAAGTAATATTCTTGTAAAAAAAATGGAAACATTTTAAAAATCGAAATGTAATATAGTCTATGAATAGAGTTAGTTATACAATAATGATATGGGGGAAAGTTGGACAAAACCAAAACCTAAAAGCTTTTTATTCCCTTAGAAATAATGTGAATAAATTTAACACACGTGAAAATTGCTATAATTTTTGTTTAAATAAAAATATTGTCCTTTAGCACCTGGGTGGTTTTTTCCCTCACAAAACTAAACTCTGAACTGTTTTATATATGAATTTTAATATTAACGGTACAGCTCTGGATATTGTAATGATAATGGAATAAAATGCAAACTTCATACATTAAAAATATTTATTAACTACTTCTACATTCTACTAAACCTTACATTCTACTTTATAATTGATCTTAAATAAAAGCAAGCATAACAAGACACCTCAACTTACATACTAAGGTGCCACTACAAAAATATTCGGAAACACTAACGCCCCTGTAGCAGAACAGTTGCGACATGGCAACATTGTCGCAGAAGAGAGCTCTTGTAGAAAGAAAGACATTCGATTCGGGAAGCAAAAAAGTTTTCTTCTTTTTTTGTCTGCAGAATTTTTCGAAATATTTTTTTCTGTAGAACTATTTTTTCCCTTTCTGCAGAATTATTTTTAAAAAATGCCTTTCTCACATATCGGAGATGGAAGAAACGCATGATTTATTCGTTACATTTTTCTCACTTTTCTTTGAGAGTAAAAAAATTTCCCAATGACTGGCTTTAACTAGAATTTCAGATTGATATTGTAAACAATTATTTAGAAATCGCAAACATTTAAAAAAAGTTAGTTATAGAAATATTTTTTACAACAGGAGAATATTGCCAATAATATAAGAATATGTATTCTTTTATACATAAATTAAAATAAATTCTTATATTTATAATTTAAAAAATTATATGTTCTATTATATACATGAAAGCTTTTTATTTAACAGAAAGCGCTTCTGTTACTTTAAATTAGTAACATATGTGTTTGCTATGAATAAAAATGTCTTTCAGAAAGGTATTAGTAATAAAGAGAATTATCGCAGAAAGCTAAAAAAAAATTCTGTCATAGGGCTAACGACCGAATTCACGATGGAAACTGACCCTGAGTCACAGTTCAAAACAGGTTTAAAAGAGCAACACCAGGTTAGAATTTAAAATTTCAATTCACCATGTATGAAACTGCTTGTCTCTTGAACCCAGAGTTTGCTAACTTTAACCTGAAGATGTCCCCTGCTAGAGTTACTGCCAGTGCGAAGTATGTGAATTTTCATTTATTTACGTTTTCGAAAATAAAACTTTTGATGTTCAGTTGCTTTCGTTTTAGGTTCAATGGAGTTAATTCATCACTAGATGTAACTGTAATTAATTCACAATTAATAAATTGAAATAAAAAAATTTCAAAGGAAGATTTTTTTTAATACATTTTAAAATTATTATTAGCAGTGATTTTTGCACCTAAATAATTTTTTTCTCAGAAAAAAAAATCCTGGATAATACAGGGTATTTTTCTGTTTGTGTGGAGCTTTGCGAGTTCAACTGAAAGATAAATTTTATGTTTTATTATTCTAAACATATAACAATAAAACTCAGATCCTTTTGCTTATTTTATTAATACAAGTGAGTTTAAAAAATGAAACTTAATATATTTTTTACTGGCCCAACAAAAGAACGATGAAAATTTAATCACTCAATACAATCTGTTTCTGCAATAAAATAAGCGTTTTAAAAATGGCAACAAAAATTGAAAACACTGTTAATAAAGCTATAAATCCAGCCCCTCAGTGCAAGTTAACAGCGGGTCCAGTAACACGCAGTTAAGAAACAGACAGTCAAAAAATAATGCAGAAATCGCTTTTCAACGCGTGGTCAATATTTCCAAACCAGAATTTCACAAACGAGTGTTTCACGTTGGTTCGGTGTCAGGGATGAATATGGGGTCAATTCACAGCACACTTAAAATTGCTGTTCTAACCAGGGAGGGAAGATTAAAAACTTTTCTTGGGTGAAATTTTTATGATTAAAAAAGTGTGTGTCTCAGGTTTTTTGAGAATATACAGGATAGAATTCTGAGAATTTAAATACAGGTTTCAAAGCAATAATTTAAATACTAATTTCTAAATAATAATAAAACAGGTTTCTAAGTACAGTAAGTAAAGACAGGTTTCTAAGTACATAATAATTTATATAGAATTAAGAATTTAAAATTGGTTCAAAAAATATGGTTGATAAATCGATAAGATGGACTAATATACATATAATGATTGTTTAAGAAATAATTGGATGAAGCGAGTGTAATAGCCTTTTTAATATTATCTTTCGATTTTTACCTTGTTCTTTCTGACTCTATCTTGAAATTTTTTTAAATGATTTAAATCTATCAAAAGACTGAAAACTTTCACCCATGGTGAAAACAACAAACCACAATATATACTGTTATAATAACAATTAAATTAAATAAATGCGAAAATTACTATTTCGATAAGTAAAAATAAATTTTAAATACTATTTTTTCAAGCATGTGAATCCTATTATATTCTGTTTAAAAAAGATATTTTAGCAGCCAAGATAGCCAGTGCCAGGAAGCTGAACCATCGTTCACAAGAACAGGAGTTTGAATCCAGCCGGCTGAAGACTCCCCGTGTAGTAAATGGTGATTGGTGCATGCTAAATCTGTTGGGTCACAAAGTCCTCCATGTTCTCATAACAAATTATACCTTTGGGAGTACTGAATTGGCGAATGATCATTCTCTTGCTCAGGTCAAAATAAACTTGAAATTACTGCATTCAGGTGTAACGTATGGGTGCGGCAGAAGTTGAATTCTCGGCCATAGATGGCGTCACTGCAAAACAAGAACATGCGCACCCCCTCTGTCTTAATGGCCGATGCCAAAAACAATGAAGATATTTTAGTAGAATAACTGTGCAAAAAGGGCATTAATGAAAATTTACATAAAAGTGATCCATTTTTTTATATCCATTATGTACTAAGTATATGCAAATACTTTAGAACATTAAGTTTATTAAAAATATCGCTGCTAATTATAATATTAAGTAAACAACATTAATCATAAAATATATAAAAAAAAGTCAATTTATTAATGAGCCATAAGATGTACATTAATAAATCAATAACAGACAATTTAATTCGAAGTATTTACTGATGTAGGACTCTTGAAATTTAATTTTAAAAACATTTTAGAACACAAATATCTCACCTTTCTTGGAGGATGCTCTTCTCCTTTAACTCTTTGTTCATTAACTTCAGTTTCTCATTTTGAATGGACATGTCATCAATCAGTAAACAATAATTAAAGAAAATCACACTTTCTATCTTTTTTTTGTAGTAATTTTTGCACTGATTCAATTCAAAGAGCTTACGAGAGAAATACAGTTCAAAAGAATAATTTTATGCAAGTAAAAAAATAAGAGAGTGAACAGAGAATAAATATAATTTTTGTCATACCAAAAATATAAAGCATATCATAGGGGGAGTTATTTATGGTGTTAGCAGGGTTCCTAATAAAAATATTGTGTCCTTATTCTTATTTGTACTGATTTTTGGTTGTGTTCAGAACATCCCATTTTCTAATAACAGGATTTATAAAAAGTAGATTTGAATCCAATATCTTTTAAAATTAAGTAATAATGCTAATAGAAATAACAAAATTTGATAGTTCTAACTTAAGGACCGTCTACTATATACATGGTTCATGCTTAAAGTCTTATCCACAGGTTTCATCGTTCAGACCTTTTTGTACATTCATTTATCTATGAAAAAGAGACTCGATTAACAATTTTATAAAATCAAACTTTTATGGTGATGAATTCCGGGGTCATTTTCCTATCAATAATTTTAAGCAAATGCAGTAGCAAATCTTGTACAGTGGAATTTTGTAGCTTTACAATTAATGATTTGTCTCTTTCATTTCATTTTAATCAAAATAACAGTAATCATATCATAGAATTTTTAAATAATAAAATGAGTGATCATTTACTAAAATTACTTTTGTACAAAAAAGTGAAGTAGCATATTCAGTACAGCAAATTTCGAGATTACTGAAACACTACTTTAAATTTACAACAAATGAGGTATACTTGCGCTAAATGCAAAGCAAAAAACAATGTGAAAAAAAGCACATATGAAATGACACATGTTTTAATTCTATAAACAAGAACTATAATTCAGATACTGAGGAAGGTTCTTGATTATAGAACTGAAACTATAGTGTATATAACTATTTATGCACTTTCATTTGTGCTTTTTTCATGTTGTTTTTTTGCTTTAACTTTTTAGAAGTATTGAACTCAATTACAAATTGGTATGAGGGAATATTAACAAATTGATATTTATTTTTTAGTGAAAAAGTATTACGAAACTTTACCATGCATTGATTTGAAACTATTATGATGTTATCAAGTTGTTAGGGGAAAATATTAGTTATGTTTAGGTAGTCACTATGAACTGCAAAAAAATTTTAGTTTATCTTTAGATGGCTGAAAATGAAGTCGAAAATTTCATGAAAAATGTGACAGAGTCGCAATTAATTCCAACTAATTCAGGTCAGTGTACCTATACGCGGACCTGTAAATTTCCAGCATGCAAAGTGATTGGCGCTTTTGAACTATACGCACGGTAGGCCAAAATGAATTATACTAGAAGACATTGTGAAACATTAAATGGAACATTATAAAAACCATGCTTTTTGCGTAATGTATGAAAACAATGAGCATCTCATTCAGGTAAAAAAAGAAAATTTAGCACTTTCTATCAACTAACAATAAAAAAACCTCCTTTAAGGGCTTAAAAAACAGAAATACGCATTTTTAAGCACTTCTTAAAAACTGAGAACTACTAAAATATATTTTACTTAATCTAATAACGTAAAGTCATGAGGAAAGGCAAAGCATAATAATAAATTTTAAAAAATAAAATAATTATAGCTTTATTAATTGTGTACAGTCTCTTTCAGCTTTGTGCACAATTTCATAGTGTTGCTCAGTACTGATATAGTGATTGCTTACTTTATTCTACCCCTAACAAAGAACAGGATTGATTTCAGATAGTATATATTTATATAAAATGTACATAATTTCTATTTTAAAAAACAATAGCATTAATTTTTAAATATTTTTAGAATATACAAAAGGATATACGATCGATGTCCATTCATTATAGTGTCTTCTTGCCTGAAATATTAATAATAAAGCATAAAATTACATAACAATCACTTACTTAGGCAATATTTAACAGATTTGATCAATTATAAAACAATGCTTATATTTAAGTAACAGAAATAAAATTAAAATAACTATAAAGGGATTACACCAAGTGTCTGGACGCAATGCAACATAAAAGAAAATTTTTTTTCATGCTTTAAAATCCCTAAGTTTTATTGTGATAATAATAATACAGTAGGGAACCGATTATCCGGAACGATCGGGACTATCGCTATTCCGGATAACTGATTTTTCCGGTTTTCTGAATCGCTACAAAAAGCCGTTTTTTTTATTGTTAAATCCAACTAAAAAATTTTTTTTTGGGAAGATATACAAAAATTTCCATGT